TGACTATTCATGTGGGTTTTGAGAGGATTTGTTTAATGACTTCCTGCTCCTGTCTTCTACTATTATTACATATATTGTTTTTGATTTCCTTTGATAATTCATTATAGGGTTTCCATCTGTCTGTTTGTATAAATCCACGTGTTTTGTACATATATATATATATATATATTTTTTTTTTACAGTTTGTTATAGGCATCTGCCGCTTTTCGACAGCGCTAATCCATTAAAGAGGGAAATGACAAGCGTATCTTCCAGTAATAATTCAGCATTATATATTGCAGGGTCATTTGTTTTTGTTTTAGAGACTTCATTTTCGTCTTTTTAATCTTTTCATTCAAAATATTCCATTTCACGTTGTTTCATTTCTATTCATTTCTGTTGTTTTTCCTATTTCTCTTAAACAATCACTTGCGACATATCATACTGTAAATAAATTGAGCAACCAATGCACCTATTTGCTGACACCATTTGTTTCACGACAAAAGAGATTGGTTAGAGAGAATATTGTATTCATTCAATGATATAACATACCTTATTTTGTACACTATATTTTCAGTTATATTTATAATTTATTCTTATTTCTGAGTCATAACATATTCTTTGGAATATGCATACGTTTCAAAAAAAAGTCGTTTTAAAAATTAAATTTTTTAATTTGAAAATTAATAACAAATATAAAAATATATCTAGCGTTGACATTTAAGTTGAAAAATGCATTAAGTTATTGAATGATTTTTTAGAGACAATACTTTTCTGGTACCAGCTTTTATTTTACTTACTTCATTTATGTTTTACTGTGTGTGTATTTCCGTTTGCCTTATATCCTATTCAAAACAGATTTATAAATGTTTGAGATTCAGTTGTGAATAACCTAGCATGTAATTCAATGTATATTATAAAAGAGTTCCAAAAGAGAACTAATCTGCTTGTTGTATTGCAAATGTGGTGTCGCTGTCAAGGAGCTTCTGATCATCCATGTTTATTCTATGATTCTCCCGACCTAGCATGAACTACAGCTGCTATGCTGATCTCACCATATCGTTCTCTCTTTCTTCTTTTCTACCCAACCAATACCAACTTTTTTCCAGTAGCTGCTGTATATTGTTGGCAAAAATAACAATGCTCAATTCTTTGCATTAGAAAGTGTGTGTAGCGCGGTACGATAAGTAGTGCAGACATGAGTAAACAAATAGATTGAAGATGAAGTTGCGGATTGATGGGTACTTGATTACTCCTAAGCTTTTAACTTTAGGAAACAGCCTTAAAAGTATGATTGTAATTGGTGGAATTGATAATACAGAATATTTATATTATCGCACAAACTTTGGATGTGTATTTTTAGTCGCTTATTGAAATTGTTTTTTTTTAAAGATAAGGCTATTTTCCAATTTGCCTAATTCGAAAGTATTTTCAAGTCAGTGCAGGATGCAATTATGTTTTCTTACTGTTTCAAATCTGCTGTAGTATCTTCGATCTTATCATAAAGAAAAATTTTTTTTTAATTCTGATAGTCTTCATGTTATATATTATCCTCGTAAAATGATGAAATAGATCGTATCGAGATGCAATGTTAATTAATTGAGAATAAGACAACTATAGTGATAATGAGTGATAATAAACTGAGGATGCACTCAGCTGATTGTAAATCATATGAACAGAACAACATCTTAATCATTTTACAATCCAAACGTTTAATTTACGCTGTTCATAATTGCAATGTGCTGACGTACGCCATTTACAAGAGATGGTTACGGTCGTTGTTATTTTCTGTTCCCATCAATCTTCACTTCTGTTATAGCTATTTTAATTTAAAACTGACTAAAGCGAAACAGCAAACAGGCTCACCGGGAAAGTAAAAGCAATACATTATGGTTATTGTCGGCATATTCTTTGAAGTGTTGTTGTCATCCAACCCCTGCTGTTCATTTTTGTTGCAATATTCGCTAAATACACTTTATCTTGAAGATGCTTGCATTTTTGGAATCAATTCACATATTCTCATTTTTTAAAACTGGATAACTTTAAAATATCGTCCGATTTTTGGTTGTTCAATCAAATCAATATCAATTCATCAAGATTTTCAGATTTTTTGATAAAGAATATTAAAAAATACGTTTCATGAAAATTAAATATAATAAAGCTAAATTTCTCATCATTTCTATCTTATAGTATAATTAATATAAAAACATCAAATCATATCAAAATTATCATCTCATCCTGTTTTTCCAACACATCGTTCACTGATCAAATTCAAAAGATCCTAACTGTAAATTGAAAAAAAATTCGGCAGTGCAAATAGAACAATGCAATTTTATACGTTACGATAGCTTTGATAAGACACATTGCATCAAAAGTGTTCAATGATCAAAGAAATTTTGAAACTAAAAAATGAGCGTTATATATGGAGATGTGGATTGTACAAGAAAGAATAAACACAGTTGTTATTTCTAATTGTTGTCAACACATGCAACTTTGATAATAATCTCGAATGCTAAACAAATTGTGTGCCATTCTGTTGATTTAGCTTGATTATATTCCACTTTCTTCAATCATCTTTATCGATTTGTATCATAGAATCATAACGTGGTGGGAGAATGGAAGTAAAGAAACTAGGGAAAGAACTTCACGCAGTTTCTGATAATTACGTTGTTCCATTTCGCTTCATGAGCAAGTTTTAACTGTAAGCATAAGCATTGAAATATCATGGCTCATTTCAATTTCAAGGATAATAATGAATGAATCCGATTCCAAGGAACAGTAGTTTTTTTTATAATCGCTCTTGTTCAATCATCATCAAATCATTTTATTGGATCAGTTCAATTAACACAAATGTGGCTTACAGAAATTGAAGTTCTGTTTAGATGTTATGAAAATGAAAACTACTGTAAAATCACTGTACACATAAATTTCTTAAAACAGATGCTAATTTAAAATAAAATTGAATAAGTCCCTTGCAATTGAGAAAATGAATACAAGAAGACCGCCCCATAAATTCATGCAAAAAAAACTGTTCTTAAAACAAATGTCAGGAATTAATTCCAAGTCGATTTAGCAATTTATTTGAAATAAAATGAAATTAAGTTAAACTATTTCGCAACAGACTTCACATTTTATAAATTTAGTAGATACGCAAATTTGGCGAGCATGAATGATGCCTGTTCAATGAACTAGCGAGTGATATACAAACTTTAGAAAGTATTGGAAAAGAAAGGATGTTTACACTCATGACAAAATATACTGCTGAAATAAAAATAGTTGAAAAAAGAAAGAGAATACATGTGAAAAAAGATAGAGAAAGGGAAGTCAACTGCTACAACATATTTGATTGACAACTGTGAATGACAGATACGTCAGCGGGAGAATGTATTCTGGCTCCAATCTTATTACCACTACCATTATTATTATCATCGTTATCATTTGCATCTTAGTTTGCGGCAAGCAACACACTAATAAGCAACGTCATTCAGCTTAAAGATGCTCGAAATTTTGCTAATTTGTAAACTGCATATATCACAGTTTTTCGGACTAGTTTTCAATGAAAGATTCTAATGAAAAATCAAGTGAGATATGTGTCAATATTACGATTAGCACACTGATAGTTTAGTCAGATAAGATATCGGTATACGATTTATAGTAACTAATTAGTAACAATTTTTAAATTGACTTATCTGCGATAAATTAGATCATTGGTGATGGTTCAAATACTTCAAGATATACTAAAGGGATATAGTATGCGTATGCGAATTGTATTGAGATTACACCTCGCTTACAGATTTCATGATTTTTTCGATACATTTTTTTTGCAGCCATAAAGTAATTTTCTTTTTAAATTCGTAAAAACAGAAGTGACTTTTTTATCCAATCATAGCATTAAATTTACAAAAGTAAAAGTTGAGTGCTTCAAATATTTGTCCTGGTTTAAATGCGACACTTAGCCCTCATAACTAATATAACTGAAGTTATCAGCGGTTTTACCAGACAACATATTCTGTTAAGAAATCTCTAATTTTTAATATACAGTAAAGGAAAAGGAACTGTGGGTGTTAAAAGAAAAACGTAGTTTTGACTTCGGATTAGCTCATTTTGAAAGTCATTAGACTGTGAGAAAGTGCATGAGGATAAAACAGTGTCAATGTAGATAAATTGACGACATGAACACACGGGAACACCGGCTTCTATGGCATTGCAAAGGGCAGACGACATGCTGTGTGATTTGCATACTAGTATTAGTCCCATTATCGTATTTTGTCTATGTGCTGCTCTTGCCGCCTTTTCATAATCATCAAAAGTGCCTGGAAATTGCAAAAGATAGTAAGTGTTACGACATGCTTGTCTCTTGAGGACAACAATAAAAAAATTGGTAGCCCTACTGCCGCTTCCGTTCATGAGGGTGACGATGATTAATAATGACAATGAAATATGGAACCCTTTCTCATCCACGAAACTTTCAACACGATTACTGAAACACTGAAATGGTGGGAATAAATGAAACATCGAACGATTCAAATGCACCGTAGCATTTTATATTTTGTGGATGACCTATGAATCAGAAACAATTTGAGCAACACAAATTATGGAATTGTTTTTACTATATACAAGCCGAAAGTTCAGAAGCTTATTACTTCTACATTTAGTTTACATCATATTTTAGAGATTTTTCTAAGTAATTATTTCATGATGAAAAGATGTCACAAACATTCCGGCGAAAATAAAGTTAAAACTTTCCTGCTTTCCCAAGATACACTTTGCTCCCTAGATACGCTTTTCTATAACTTATTTTCTACATTTGCGTTAATTCCATTTAATTTCTAGCATGAAGTAAAGCAAGAAGTAAATCGAAACAAAATAAGTTATAGAAAAATCTTTTTATATTGTTATATTCATAATTTGTCAGTTTGAAAACGACCATACAAATAAAATTACAGTAAATTGCGTATCTTAGCAAAAATATATCAATACATTTACATAGCTCATCAAGCACACGAATGCAGAAAGAATATTTATTCGAATGTGATTGGAATTAAAGGAAACTGCGCTACTGATGGATTTGAAACATCGACGAGAAAGCATAACAAACCACCAATGCCTTCAAATAAACTGTATAGACTATCTGGTGTTCGGGCATGCTTTCTGAAATTCTGATCGCATGCGATTTGAGCAAAACATAGCGCATATTCGAGATACTTCTGAAAAAAAGCACCACTTGACAAGACGGAACTATTGCACAATTAGAGTATAAGGAATCGCGCAGTCTTCCCAAAAGAAAAAAATTGACATCAAATACCGCGCCATATGCTGTCTTTGTTAATGCAAAGGCTTTATTTAATCAAAATCCATATGCAGTTAAAACTTACAGTTTTCTGAGTCAAACGATAATAAAGTAGGAACGCATAACCACCACCTGCAACACCATGACAAATTCCCGGTCCTTTACGCAGAACACCTCGTTTCCAAATAAGATCAAGCGCTTTTTCAGCTGCCTGAAACATCCTCAGTGCCAAACATGCTTGGTTTCATAAGAGAAACATAGCAAGAACATTCCATGCAAATGAAGAAATTGAAAGATGGAATGAATTAAATTTTTATTTATTTGCAGACCAATTTCCATTTTAAATGTGTTTTTAAACAATTCCCTGCTCTTAATAATAGTAAAGCCTGAATACGAATTGAAATTTATATTAAGATCTTTTGCTTTCTTCGACAACATTTTACCGATGAGGCTCCAATACGGTTTTCCGACAAAAATCAAAATTGCGTTTGGTCAGCTCTATCTGATAATACAGGTAATATTGAAGAAACAAAAGAATCTTATTAGATAAAAATCAGTTTTTTAAATGCATACATACAGTAGTATCTTAAATGATTGAGTTGTTGCTAAGGTTGTCTACTAGCCAAATTAGATATTGAAAAATAGTTCATTAGCAAGAGTGAATGGAAACTGGAAATGAATACTTATGAAAAATTATGGTTGAGGAAAAGATTACACGTTACGGATCTAAGAAAATAATCATTTGTATTGCATTACTGAACAGATCATTAAAAAGGAAAAAACAAACAAGAAATACAAAGAACGACATACCTCTAAGAATTTAACTTTCTTTGTGCATAAATAAGCAACAATCATTAAATGAACAGCTCCAGTCGCGCCATGACACCAATGCACAAGTTCGTTGGATCCACGATTTATGCCGATCTCGTCAACACTTGGAGCAAAATTACCATTTTCTGTCTGTATTTCCAGAAGCCAATCCAATGTATTTTCAACATCTCTTAATGCTGCTTTATCCAGAAGATCAGAAAAACTATAATTATTATTCTGAATGCATTTTCAAAAATTATTTCAGAAAAACTAGTTATTCATACTAACAGAACACATTGTTGCAAAAGAAAAATTGAATACCAACAACAAAATTTCATAAATAATGCGTATTGATAAAAGATAGGTATCCCTTTTTACCTAAGCAACATTTGTAGAATGCCCATCAAACCATGAGCAGCACCGAGATATTCGACATTATAATACTGATACATTAATGGTGCTCGAGATTTGTATCGTTTAGCATAACGACGGCCAGAATCGATTATGCAATCAATCACCTTTTTAATATGTGAATTAGATATGATGTCATGATGCAAACGCATTCTGAAAAAGAAGAAAATTCAAGTCTTAAAACTAATATAAACATAAGGAAAGAAATGCATGAATTAAGCGAAAATCCGGAATTTCTTATTTGAATATAATATTCTCGATCTTTTATTCAAATTGATAATTCTGTTAGTATGTTTAATATAACCTTAAAGTTAAAATTGCTGCTAGAAAACCAGCTCTGCCAACAAGCATTTCATCTGCACCGTTAGGTAAATAATCCTTAGCACATATCACATCAATCAAAGATGCTATTTTATCGATGACAGTTGTATTCACAAACTTCTTCATTTCATAGTCCAATATGGCTTTGATGACATATATCCCAAGTGAACCAAGCAAATACTGTCCTTCCTTGCGATGTCCACTCTGTTGTAAAAAAAACCTAATATAACCAACTTGGTGAGATGATTTTTCTATATGAAAGAGTACCGAAATACTTTACTCACTGTGTCACCACATAAAAAAACTAATTAACTAAAGTGGCAGTCTAAGATGGCAGTCTCACCAACCATATGAATGCCAGTTAAAATTTAAAGTCTTTTCCAGCAGTTTTCAGACTAATCCTTGCTATCACTACAAACATATTAACAACCAAATGGTATAACAGCAAATAAGTAAGAAAGCAATTATTATCATTAGGCTTTTTTATTAGTGCTGGGAAAAAAACATAATAAATAGAACCTTGATTTGCTTTAACTGCTTCTCTACCACTTTATTACAGAAGTTTGCATACTGTTCTGCCTTCTCTGGCAAAAGTCGCGAGGCGTACAGCACGCTGTACCCATCACCTGCAACTCCGACGTAGGCTCCTCCATCGTAATCATCCGAATTGTGTCTCCGTTTCATGATCTCTTCCGCGATATTCGAAGCCTCTTGTTTCAGGGTTTGTTCAGTCACCTCCAAGTCAGTAAAACCAGTTCATGATTTTGAAAATAGCCATGAAACAGAATGTACTAAAGCATGGAAAACATCAGCTAAATAAATTATTCAGACATCATGGAGCCAGTATACTGTGCAATTTGCATTCATAAAAAAAACTGCATCACTTCCGAATTTGCAACAAAAAGGCAACACACTACAAATTTAAATATTCAGTGCACCTTGAACTACTGGATGAACATACCTTCAACGACTGAGCTTCGCTATTGGTTAAATATGGATTGTCAAAATATCGTCTATGCACAACAGGAAACATGGTTTTACTGTCTTGTCCACTTCCCGAACTGTAAACACACGTGAGAAGCACATTTCTCGCACCCACTTCCAACGTATCGTTACGCAAATTTTTTATTAAACCTACCTCCTTTATTCCACCTTCAAATTCATTCTGATGCATATCAAATTCTAGATGCTTGCTATAAAAATCACTTTAAACAGGAAACTGCTGCGGTATTATCATAAAACACCACAATGACAAAAAACTTTACAAAGCAAAATTTATTATTAAGAAACAACTGACACAATATCGGTGATACTTTTTTCAGAATATCTTTTTAATAGGCGTAATAGACAAAGAACAGTGACACAATAAAAGCAGTCAGGAAAAAGGTATAGGTACAAGAGGAAATTGCGTTTTATGTGGTTCCAACAAGTCACACATAAAACATAAAGTTCCACTTATCCCTTCGAATAAGCTATACGGTCGGTCAGGTGTCCGAGCCCTTCGTCTGAAGTCTTCACTACAAAAAGCTTTCGCAATACAGCGAGCGCAATCCAGGTACCGCTGAAAAGGAAATTAATACAGTGCAACGCAAAAATTTGCAAAGAATTTTGCGTTCAGATCATCTACTAGTACAATACCTTTGTTAGTTTACTTCAACAATCTACTTAAAATGAGTTATTTATATGTTACAGTAATTCTCAATTAAAAACACAAGAAGTCAATATAATTTTAAAAATAGCCGTTAGCGAAAACAAAAATATGTAGTTGTTCGAAACCTGTAAACTCTTGCATATATGTCAGTCATGTTTTCGACCAAAAAAACGAACCTGTTCATTGGTAAGTCGGTGAAATAATAGGAAAGCATAACCACTGCCAGCAGCACCATGACATATCCCCGGCCCTTTCATCAAGATACCCTTCTGCCAAATAAGATTCAGCGCTGCATCTGCACTCTGAAATTTCATTTCCATAATTCGGGAAAAACTGCTGCACAGAGTTATTTAAGAATGATAAGATCCATATCAGTTAGGAATAAATTGTAGCTACAGTTTAAAACAAAAACAAAAAAACAATCCGGACATGTTACATTTACAGAAGTCCAACTTGTTATAACGATTTAATAAAATATATTCATAAGAAATCACCGCTGCTGAGACTGCTGAACTTTTCTGATTTAAGTAATTTGATGCATAAGGACACAAGCAAAATACCTAAGTAAACTAACTTTTAGATATTTCTCGTTGCAGGTTCGTAAATACGCAACAACCATCAAATGAACAGCACCAGTCGCACCATGACACCAATGAACCAGTTCATTTTCACCTCGATCGAGTCCTCCCTCTTCTACTTTTGCCGGAATGTTACCATTTTTTAACTGCAGTGATACAATCCAATCCACTGTTTTCAAGACATCGGATTTTGCCTCCTCATCCAAAAATTCAACGAAGCTGCAAAGAGGGTATATACTTTTAAGTAACTGGAAGCAAAGATTTAAAAACTACCTTGTGATCATTTTTTTCACAAGGAAAAGCAAAAAAAAGATTTCTTTGTCAAAAGCTTCATCAAACGGATAGTGACCATAAGTCTTCTAATGGAAGTCGATGCTCAGTCGCGTTAGTTATATGCATCAATATCAGGAAATGCGCGCTACACCAAATAATCAAACAGTTCTAGGAATAAGCAGACGGTTTAATTTGGATTCCAAATGATATACGTTGATAGAAATTATACAATTGCTTTTACCAAAGTAACATCTGCAGGATGCCCATAAGACCATGGGCTGCACCCAGGTAATGACGCCCATGATAATGATACATTAACGGCACCTTAAACTGTTTCGAAGTCGCATAAGATCTACCAGAAGCAATTACTTTATTTACAACGTTTCCAACACATACGTCAGGAATGACTCCATGATCCATATGTTGCCTGGAAATTAAATAGTTTATAATAATTAGCGGTTTTAAGTTAGAGAAACCAAAGGGGTATAAGAAAACTACAACAGAAAAAGACAGCAAACCTAAGAGTGATGACGGCAGCGAGGAAACCGACGCGCCCAGCAAGCAGTTCGTCATCTCCATTACCAAGTACATCACTGCTGGCTATAAGATGGCCGATCTCAATAATACGGTCAATCAACTGTTTGCTTCTTTCGCTTGTTTTTTCGTATAGTATGTAGACCACGTAAATACTTAATGATCCCAACAAATAACATGTTTCTCGGTTTGATTTATTCTGTAATCAGAGTAACAAGTTACAGAAAGCTTTCATGAGTCACCACTGAAAAATCGCAACGAACACTGAAAATTATGAACCATAAGCTCTAAAAGCCGGTACTTAACAGCTTCATAAATCTCCACATTGCTAAAATATTTACCTTTAAGGCCGACTGAAGTTATAAGCTAGAGTTAAATCACCTTGCTAGAGAATATGTCTGTTAAAAAGATAAGAGACAAAACGACTAACAGTCTCAGTATCGCTCACGCTTACTCACCTGGTTCAATCTATCTTCACTCTTTATCATTAAAGTATGACTTCCATGCAAAAGTTATACTTTAAACGTCCCTTTCTCATTTCGTTCATCTAAAATACACCCACCATGTTCACTTAAAATACACCTGCCGTATTCACTAAACCAATCGATAGCATCAAAGCGACTGTTAAAAGACCGTCTTCTGCAATAAATGTTTAAAATGAACTTTTCTAACAGCTTCCAAATGCCGCATAAGTATGCGTCTTCCATATTTCATTGATTCCTCTCGACTGTGGTTAAAGGATGATGAAGAAGCTCTTAACAAAGCATATGCAATACCCGCTTCACCGGTGTATGCGCCTCCATGCAAATCATCGTCATCCGAAGATCTGTTCATTATTTTCTTCAAAAGCTGTCCCGCTTCATTTTCCAACCATGTCTTCGCGACCTGAAACAAGTGACTGAATTTAGCTAACTGAATTTAACTGCATCCATAGGAAGCCACCAGTTATGCATGATGAATATGTCGCTCAGATCATATAGTACCCAAGGAATCTCAACACTGTTTTGCGAAATAGTTCACATTCGCAAATTTCTCACACCTTAATGCCACTTAAAAGTCTATAAATTAATTGCGCAAAAGAAGCTTAAGTCGACATATTCTGCTACAGACTACTCTTCCTTAAATTTTGAGGTCAAATAGTGTGATCAACGAAGAAACGCAGCCACTGAAATTACTTACAGACTGAGCTCCTTTCTTTGGATTCTTTTGAAAAGGATTTTCCATATAACGCGGCAACCATTTCGAGGACATACGTTTTTACTAAAAAGTCTAAAACTTATATATATCAGCGCATCTGTTTCCTTTTTCCCATTATTGATTGAAACCTTAATTCAGTCACTTATCACTGATTCTTTGTTAGTACGTACAGTGCTTACATACACGTATGCTCCACAATTATAACACTTCAAAACTCACATTGCATCAAGACCCGCTCCGAAAACTGGACAATCTCGTGACACTGCATTGCATACCACAAAGTATGAAATTCTTGTTCTCATCATGTTCCATCAAACGATTACGATTTTCGCTATATCTTTTTTGAACATTTGTTTTTAACAGAACGAATTGGTTTTGGGATTCATTTGTTGAAGTTCATTAATAACTGTGGTTATCCATTATTGAGTATCTGTTTTCAAAATAATATAAAAGCTCGAGCAATTATTTTAGATTAGTAATTAACAGGAGACATTTCAACTGGTTGTATACATTAATGACTTTTAGAATTTTAAAAATTGATGGAACAGATGGTAATCATTTTTCGAAATCTGTCTTTTGGGTAACATTCCATCACCATTTTTCAAATTCCACAAATATTCACAATAACAATACATACCATTTCTGTTTACTATCATTTTCTTGTTACTTTGCTTTTTTCGGATAAATTAATATGTTATTTTGCAGGAATGTTAAAGGCGCCACGTAGAAGTTTATTCAGGTTACTACCAGTTGACATATCTTTTAGGAAGCTTGAAAGCGGTATTCCATCGCTGAATGAGATTAAGAAACCAGAAGATGATTATCATCCGTCAAAATATACGATTTTTGGTTAAGTTATATCCTTGTTTTTCTAATTAATTTTTGGTTTCATGATTCAGCAAGTCCATTCTTATAAGTTGTGAAGTACTTTTATTTACTCATAAAGGTTGTTACCAGTGATTTTCCATGTAAAACAAAACTTATACAGGCAACAAACGGGAGGATCCAATGCATTATACCGATAGAAAAGTGGGTCGAGGTTACTGGCAATTCTCGAATACTATTTTTCACTCACGACCAAGGATTCATCCAAAATTAGCGAAGGGATTAAAGCGGAATTTTTATATAATGTTTGCTATTCTTCTGGGCTTGTGCACAGATTATGACTGGTATGTAATTTCCTGTGAATAAATTGGTTATGACATTCGTCAGATAGGCAAAAGAAATTGGTAGTTCTTATATTTCATGTAAAGGATAAAGATACTCACAGAGGGCCGCCACTATTCAGAATTGAATCTGAACAGATTAGACAGTTTATCTTAATATTATACAAATATGTGTTTTTATATAAATTTTGGATAATTTCTTATCTCTCAGTTGAGCCTTTTGTCCAATTAATTATACAGAGGAAGGTTATATTAACAGTTATTGTCGTTTAACAAGGCTTGGATATCAGATCAAGAAATTCACGATGAATTTTCGTTCAGAAGCTGCTGATTACAACCCACGTGAACACCAAAAGTATGAACCGCTGGCAGTAACCAAGCTATTTTGAATAGTATGGATAATAAATGATTCCAAAGAAGAAAAAAAGTAACTTTCCATGAGATAACGATTCATCGGGTATGAGTATGTATACGAAAATACTCCATAAATAGGATTTTTAGGTATTTCTCAACTTTGAAGGTATGTTTTTTTAATAATATGTGCTGTTTCTTACCAGTTCGCGGAAGCTATATTCGTTCGTATTTCAGTGAAAAATAGAATATTTTCCTCTTTTTTTCTGTAGCTTTAACGATATGGCATATTTTATTCCTTCTGCATATTTTCTTCTTGCACAGGAAATCTATGACTTGCAATCAGTAAATGTAATAGCTTCACTATTTGAGGATAAACCCATGCCAGAACAGCCTTATCTTTTGCGGTTATAAATTTCATGTTGAAATTTTAAGATTAATTTTAGTGCCATGATTTCATTTCCAGCTCTTTTCATCTCGTTATACATTTATGAAATATCTCTTGTTCACTAAGTAATGAATGATAGAGCCTCATATCGAACACTCGTAGTTCATTCTTTAACATCGGGAATACTGAAGCTACTTATTCTAAACTTGTGAACCAGATGTACGTTTCCATTTTTAAAAATTTAAATTTGCATTTAGCGACTTTCCATTCTAAAAGCACTTGTTGATGAGGCAAGATACTTTTTATATTATATTGTACAAAGTGAAAAATTATTAAATCAGGAAAGACATTAAAAATTTTTTGCTTTCTCTTTGTTGGTGCTATTATTCTGTTTTTATTCATTTTTTATTGCAAAATTGAGTAAGGATAGTCAAATAAATTTTAATGATTATTTGTTGCAATAAAATAAGTGGAGAACAGAAGTTGCAATAAAATAAGTGGAGAACATAGTTGCAATAAAATAAGTGGAGAACATAGTTGCAATAAAATAAGTGGAGAACAGAAGAAACTAACTGAAACAGTATCAAATCCAGTGAGCCAAGATTGTCCTAACGTAAAATTTCAACGATCATTGAAGTGACGTACGAAGAAGGAAGCGAGAGATTATAAAAGAGAAGAAAGTGAATGTGGGAGATGGAGAGTGAGAAGGCATGATACGGAGAGTAACGATCAAAGACCACAGTACAATAAACAAGCAGCTCAGATAGACTTGCCTGGTTTAACAAAGCTATTTGTGATTGCAGAAAGGATGGAAATGGTGGGCGGTGTGGTATGTGCTACTGCAGCGACAACAACGACGACGATGACGACAACCCAAGTAAGTATCACATAATGATGTTTATTGATATGTTTGATAGAGTGTTTAGTACATTTGGATATTTCATTAAATATAAAACTTTTATATCTCCAGAGTCTATTACCGAATTTGATACCTATCCACTCCTATTCTTGTCCAACCGAATATCTCTTTTTTAGTCGATTGGGACAAAATTTTATGCATTTTTGTTGCTATGTTTAGTGAATATTTGCAAATTACATACGTGTGTAACTTGGTATTCTGTACTTTTCCGTATGTGTTCAGTTCCTTCTACTCGGTTTGCTGAAACTATTGGAGGATGTGGAATCTAGGGTGCTGCACTCGGTGGAATTTCCTGATTTTCATGCACACGTGACATTAGGGCGAATAAAGTGGTATTGATGTAAGTCACAGTTCAAACTACTGATTCTAATATAGCCGGATTTGCATTACGTAGCCTTGTATGGTTACGCTAATAACTTCGGATTATGGGACCACTTAGTTCTGCTAGATTGTTTGTTCGAAACGGTGAAATTTTGGGCAGTGAACTTCGCTGCTATCGTTTTAATAAGTTTTAATAAAAAATTGCCGCTTCATTGTCAATCTGAAGTGCACAACTTGCAGCATATAGTTTTTGTCGCCTTATTCATGTAGTTTTCATTCGGGAAAGATGACGTCCTGAAATTCATCTTTACTAGCGCACATCTTGAAGCATACAAAGTTTGAGATTGTTTTTCTGGAAAGATTGTTTTATTAGTAGACCGCATAAATTACTATTGCAATCTCGAGAGTTGTCGAGTTCCAAATGCGTCCTGAAAGATATATGTTTTGCAACAAATGGTTTTACTCGAGGCAGCTCCTCTCATCTTTTGTTAGTGAAGAAATTCGAAGTGAATGAAATTGCAAAAGTATTGTATCTTTGAACACGGAAGAAAAGATGATATTTTGATTCAAAATATATATATTGAAAAAAAATCTGCAAGAAGGACACACGGGTTTATGCAGCAATTTGATATGGAAAAAGTGTCTATGTACACTTTCTTATTGCATATTTACGAAAGTCGTTTGAGGGTGTATTCGTTAACCTTTTCAGTTTCTCACCTCTGTTTTGTCACCAGTAAATAAAATAAGAGCTGAATTTCATTCATACTCAAGTTACAGTACTAGAGCTTCGTTTAAAAAAATTCATTGTGGAACTGCTGCATAAATGATCTATTACTATTGAATTTTGAAAATCGTGTTAAATTTTGTTCTTTTATTCAGTAAGTAGACTTCGGAATGTAGCATGGATGAAATTATATTGTTTTCTTTGTTAGCAACTAATGGATGTCACTTGTTGCTGAATACTATCTGGAAAAGACTGCTTGGAAAGTTGGTGTGCATAAAGGACGTTATAAGTTCTGACTAAAGGAGATTAGAAGAGACTTGTAACAGCTTCTTGAAGTGGAGTTGACATCTGAAATTGAAAGTACGCATGGCAATCGTGAGAATAGGTGCATTGCTTTCATCAATCCATTTTTTAAGTGATTTATTGGCTTGTTACTGTTTTCGATTTTTAAGCGGCCAAAACCGAATTTGCCATCGTTTGAAGAAATAAGACGTGCGGTACCGCCATCATGTTTCGAAAGGCCTCTGTTGAAATCGCTATTTTATCTTGTTCTCGATTTCGTAATATTGTACGGTTTATACAGATTTGTTGATGCATTCGAATCATTTGGGATTTACGGGCTGTTTATATGGTAAGATATGTTCATATTTTCTTCGGTTCGCATAACTGCAAAATAACAATGTAAGATTTGCTACAAAAAAATGAACATATTGATGTTGAGCATTTTACTGAGGCACTCTAACAAATGTATATTGAAATGCGTATGGCAAATGATAAATTTTAGGTATTGTTTTATGGGAATGTTTGGATCGTCACTGTTTGTGATTGGTCATGATTGCGGTCATGGTACCTTCTCTGAATATACTTGGGTCAACGATCTTTTTGGACATATTGCTCATGCTCCACTTTTGGCACCTTATTGGCCCTGGCAAAAGTCGCACAGACGACATCATCAGTACACTTCTCATATTAACAATGACATGGTATTTTGATTTCTTCTGTTAATATCAAATTTGTTCACTTGTGTCAAATATTCTAATGTGTTCAAATATGATAGTTATTATTCAGTAATGGGTGGCTTTTTTTCTAATTTTTTGATTAATGTTAGAGGTTGCTTGTTTCAAATTTATTTAAAATTTAGGGACATCCTTGGGTGCTCGAAAAAGATTTTATGACACGTGGTTGGATAACGCGCAATTTTTCAAAGATCCCACTTTCCGGTTTTATTCGGTTGGTTAAATGTTGTATTTCTGGATTTGGCTGATGCAGGATGTTCAAGTAAATGTAAAAAATCCCATAAAAGCACCTTATACTAAAGCCTTCTGCTTTTCATCTGCTGACAAATGGAATGAGGACGCTTTTTTTTACCATAGCGAGAGGTGTTCGTTTAATATAACGTCATTTTTTCAAAAAAAAAAAACATTTCTAGGTGGAGTCCGATTTATACAATGGTCGGTTTACCAGACGGTAGCCACTTTTGGCCTTATAGTAAACTTTTTAACACCAATCGTGAACGAGTGGAATGTGTTATTAGTGGTTTAGCATGTTTATTTTGTGCTGTGGTTAGTTAATTATCATTAAAAATATGTGACAAATACATCGGAAATGCGTTCTAGGAAGTGATTTTTTTATAAGATGTATTGACTTCTCATCTTTTTTGAATTTAATATATCAAAAACTTAGTAAATATTCCTGCCAACAACTTAAGAAATATTCCAGGTGGCCTTTGTTATATGTAATAACAGCTGGTTCACATTCATCAAGTATTATTACATTCCGCTGTTGTTTCAAGGTTACTGGCTTGTTGTCATAACTTATTTGCAACACAACGATTATAGTATAGAGGTATATCTTAGACTTTTTTTAGCCCTTTTTTTAATCACTTAAAATTAGAAGTTCTCTTGATTCGTTATGTATCTCTTTTTTTGAAATCATAAAGTAAATATGGCAAATGATATTTCCTATCATATAATGAATCAAAGTTTAAAACCTTGGAATTACTTCTTCAATATGGTATTCTGCTTTTTAATGTTTTAAGTTTTTTCTTTTTCTCTCGTCTACACTCACGACAGCGGTTAGGACACTCAAGGAAGAAGCCATTACAAAAAAGTCGAAATCTCAGTTTAAAGGGATTCTATTCAAGAACGAGAAAATAATTACAGCAAAAGCTGAGGAAAGGTTATGATATGGAGTGGATTATAAGTCAGCTATCCAGTATTGCGCAGTTAAATCGTTTTTATACTGCTGTGGTGAATCCTTTTTAAGTTTATCAAGGTTTTTGTATTTTCGTTTAGGTTTATGAGGAAGGCTACTGGAGTTATGTGATGGGGCAAGTACAAACCATCGATCGAATGTACGGTTTTGGTATTGATACATTGCTGCATCATATCACTGATGGTATTAGTTTTTCAGTGTTAATCTTCAGATTAAAGAAAGTGAAAAAGAGCAACTAGTTGTCGGTGGATATTATAGTTCCATATAAGAATATATTTTTAAGAAGGAATTTTTTCTTCAAAAAGAAAGTGAATGCTTAAACCATTTAAAGGTGTTGGAGGAAGCTGGCGAAAAAGTTCTGTTTTAAATCACAAACCATTAATTTGTTTTAATATTTTATGTTAATGTTAATGATTTATCATTTTCAGGGCACGTGGCCCATCATTTCTTCTTCACAAAAATTCCTCATTACCATTTGATCGAAGCAACAGCGGCAATTAAAAAAGTTCTAGAGCCTTATAAGGCATATCGATGTAAAAGCAACGCCGATTTTTTGTTGGATTTTTTGATGCTCAATATAAAACTGGAATATCTTATTGGTAAAGGTACTGGCATCCTTACCTATAGTGGACAACAAAAAGAGGAATGATTTATTAAGTTTTTTGCAATAATCGGTTTAAAAAAATGAATTTGCGAATTCCATCATTTCAATTTTTAAGAAACGATGTTTACAATTGATTATATTTGCTGGTAGACGTAGGATTTTATTTATATGAGTTATGAATTCTGTTCCATTGGAATAAAAATATTTAATCGATGGTGATGACTCAGTAAAGTTTTTTGTTAATGTCGTCTAAAAGGATATTTCAAAACTTTTCCATAAGGATTCAGAAAAGTTTTTTTTCAAGCGAATGTTTTTTTTTTTTTTTTTTGAAAAAAGATTATTGGCAAGTGGGAGGGAAGGAGAGGAAAACAGGAACAGGAAGTACTGAACAGAGAAATCGCTGATTGAAAAATATGCAATTCAATAAGTCAGCTTATTTCATATCAGATTTTATAATTAAGGTATCTGGTAAACATTTGGTAAGTTTATTCCGATTATGGTTTCCTACTGTCCACCTTACCAAAGGTACCGACTTGACTTCTGAAAGTGAATAAGTTCTGAAATTTAACTGATCCATTGTGCCATTTTTTGTGGACCTTAATTTATAAAGGCGTTTATTTAAACAGCAATGCTGTGGTGTGGCGTAATCCATGTTAGTTGGAAGTTCAGGATGTAGAAAACGGATCGCGCAACAGAATCAATAACCTGTTTACAGACAAGTGTCTAACTTGCAGAAGCAGAAAGTTCTAGTCTTCTTGTTTTGTTTCTGATTTTCCGAAAACCAGTTATGCAAAACTGGACTGAGTGAGAGTTCTTTGCGAAGTACGGACATGATTTGTGTAGCATATGTATAAAATTTCAAAAACTAAATTGCACACATAATTATCCTGTTTTGAAGTAGATCATTAATTTGAACTGAAAGTGGTTAAATATCAAGTCGATTGATTGATTACACACAGAGTAGTTGTTAGAGTTGAGCCGATGAAGTAGAATGGCAATGCTTAGGAAGGTTCATACTCAACAAGTTGACAGTTTTAGCGAAAATGTTGAATTGTTTTCGGAAGATTTTGACTGAGTAAATCTAGCAGATAATAACTGAAGAAGCAATAACAAAAAATAAAGGAAGGAGACGGTGCAACAAACTTCACATCCTTAAATCTTTTAAAATTTTTCAATTCCGAAGAGCATGTGAAATAATCGTAAAAAATAGAAATTTCTATATATTTTAAATGATTTAGTTATCAGTGTGACGTCTACAATGCCTGGTCATATTTGAAAAGACACTTTAAAGATATAATTCAGGGTCAATCAAATAACTATTTTCAGCTGAAGTGTGAAATGTAAAGAAGTACTCTAAAAATAGTAGTCAGCCTACCATCAGTGTTTTTAAATATTCCAATCCGCCACACGTACCATATTTCGAGACTGTCCACTATTTTTGAATTTTTGCTTAAACTGATTTGTTTTCCCATAATGAGTACCATTCAAAAATCTAAGCAATAATCCTTATTTCGTATGATTGTTGTTATCAATTAAGAAAAAAAAATCTGAATGTAAATTATGTGCTGGGGGTTTCTAAACGTTGTATTTCAAAGATCGTATTTAGGGTCAACAACATAAATTTGTTCTAAGATTCAAAGCTCATCTTTCCAGAATGCCATGTCATGTGTTATACAGCAGGCATAAATTCAAAATACATGTTTTCAGCTGCAGATGCTAAAAAAAAAATTTGGTGATACTAATAATCTGGGCGTAACCTTGTGATATGTGATTTCATCCTCTTAATGATTCAGAATTATCACTTTGCTCTCTCTATTTATTTTTTCATTCAAAATATCATCTAATTATAAATAGATTTTGGGATCTGCTGACTCGAATTATGAAGTTTGATCTCTTTCTTTCTCATTTTGGAAACTGAATGACTGCATTATAAAGTTTCCAGATAACGTCGTATATGATCTAATTATTTCTTTGCAAACTTATTGAGAAAATTGAGGTGTCCGGTACTTATAAAATTAAACTTAGATGTGCACATATTGGATTAAAAAATTTCCTGAATTTAGGAACTTTTCTCATCTCATTAGCTATATCTGAAGGTTTCCAAAAAAAAAATACGAACTTCGAAGTTAGGCTATAAAACCAATCAAGAAATTGTGACATTAAGATTTAAAATTATGCATAAGAAGATCCATTAAAAACGACTTAAAGATCGTAACGTACAACAAATTTGAAGTAGATATGTGCGCTTACACAATATTAATTTGAAGTGAATAGGCTAAAATTGAAATGAAAAAAAATTTTGGTATGAATAGTACTTACAATTTGATAGTTTTGTTGATGAGTGGTTAGAAAATATGTCAGTGTTATATGAAAGTTATTTTCGTAATGAATCATACGATGTTGTAGTATAGTACAAATCAACCAAAAAGAAATTAATACTTCGACTTTCTTTAATTTGGTTCGAACGATTGTTATAAACATATATGATGCATAAGATATGCATAATAGCAGCATAAATGTTGTAAAAAGGTTGATAAAGATGGAGTCATTAAGCAAATGAGGTAGGATTGGAGGATTTTTTCGATACGGTATCTGCCTAGTAAAATGAAATGAGAAGAAAAATATAATGGCAAGAAAACATGAAAAGGGAGAATGATGACAAGAAGGTAATTGAGTGCATACAAGTTTATACCAAAAAAAAATAAGTCCAGTTTTGTGTGGCTTTCCCTCGCTCCTACAAATAGAGAACAGGTAAGAAATCTAGACCTCCTCCTTTCTAGGCGATCTAGATCTAGACCCCCATCTTAATTCATTCAGTGTAATAACATTTCCATTCCTTTACGCGTAGTTATTTCACTTACAACATGCAACTTATCACTCTTCTCCTCAACTCATTTTTCATTTATTTTGGTATGTCCTTTTTCATTACTCTCCAAGTACACATTTTCTGGATATCTCTTATATCCAGCATAAATTCTTTAAGAATTACAGATGTACAATTAAGATTAGTTCTTAGTATGATAACACATGAAGCAGATCAAGTATCAGAAAAGATTGTGAGTCATTGGTCGAAAAGGGTGCTTGATAAAGCAGCATTATACTGGAAGTAATTCGTATATATGACTGAATACGTGCCCTGTAGCTGTATTGAAAGTTATTTGTTTCAGGACGGTGCGACACGAAATCAGTAGAAAATAGTTTGAATAATAGTGGGAACGATGACATCAGTTCCTCTGTGATTTGGCGTAGCATTGTCGGTGATATTTGCCAATTATCATCCCTTCCACGACCAACAACTGATCCAAGCAAATACATCAAATGCGTATTTCAATCCGAAAATACTGGAAATCGGTTAGATGATTCTTCGAAAAAATACTTTTTAAATTTCCAAAAACTCAGTTGCTTGGAAAAATTGGTCGCAAAATCTACTCGTTTTAGTAGTGATCTTGGTGTTTGGGTATCAAACGACTGCCCGATTGGATATCAGTTTGTAGCATCAGCTCGAGAATGTAAAATTGATGGATTCATCAAAGCTCGACAACAATTATGCGATGGACCTAACGCTGAAAAATACAAATTCTGCCCTCAGTTAAGAAATGGTCCAAAAGTTAGTCTTAACTTGAGTCGAAAATCTCGTTGCAACTCCTAAATTTAAAAAATGATATTTGATTGCAGTTCATGGTAAAAAGAGTTGAACAACAAAAGGAGCAGTGCTCGTGTTCTGTGGACGATGAGAATTGTGAATGCCCAAAAGTTATAATCATTGAACTTGTCGCATATAATGGAATTATAAATGAAAGAAACATATCAAAGATAAGAATTTGAACTGCTTTCATGTTATATTCCAAATAATAAAAAAGTATGAATAGATGGAGCATCATTTTTAAAGAATTTTTTTGAATAAATAAGAAGATCTCAGAAGATAATTAATTCTTTCTTAATTTTAAAGTTGAACAAATGTGAGCTATAATTTAATGTTTTCAAATTTCAGGCCCGCCAAGCTCGTCAGGTGGTCTGTCAGGGTCAACAAGTATGCACAATCTCTGTAGGCCATATTTGTTGCTATTTCGATGCAGTTAAGATTCAGTGTTTGTCAAAAACGATTGGGCAATATTTTAAGAAAAGAAACCTTGAAATTCTTTTGAGAAAAGTTGTAGAATTTGTTGCAATTTTTACTATGAAAGTACATGATATGATATGATATACATGATATGACTCTAAATTGAAGTATATGATGTGCAATTTAGAGTGATAATTGCGGTGACTGTTCGAATGCAGGTGGTATATGTATCTGCAGTCCGTCTGGTTCAACTTATTTGCCCGGTGCCACTGAATTTCCAGTAAGCATTTCGATCGGATATAATTCGCTTTGGCTTAATTTATGTCCTGAATTCACTTTAATCATCTTTCTAATAATTTGAACAGAAATCACTTTTAATCTGTAGAAATTCGTGATATATTACTTTCAGAATAAGCGAATCCCGGAAGGTTGCCATCTGCTGAGTAATGGACAGCTTCATTGCGCTCAAATTCTGGAAGAGATAGAAAAGCAACAACATCCGACCATTATTGTACCACAAGCATGCCCCATAGGTTTGAATTAGTCAAGCTAAACGCTGTCACAGTTATGAATCCATCTCTCTGACTAATACGGTTATTCTCAAGAGATCATGATCCTAATTCAGACTACGTATTTCATTCTTTATCCTTTCTGACCTAACATCTTTTATACAGATCAGAATAAATAGTGAGAATGATTGTTTGCCCAATTAACCTAATCAACCCTTCAAAACTGCATTAAATACCAGTACTAAATTCTCGTCTCAAGCCAAAATTCTAAGAGCCTATTTTATGGCCCAAATAACAAGATAGGTTCGGAAAAAAAATACTTTTTTAATAACTCGGGACATAAAATAAATATGTTTCGGAACAAAATTTGGGATATAAAATAAATACAAATAATGCAGGTAATAGTTTCAAACTGTCGAAGTGATCGAACTTTTTCTTTAGGTAATTGCAAATAACTATTATTTGCAGTGGTTGGACAAAATTTTGAGGATGCTAGATATCAGAAAATTTGTTCATGGATGATCGAGACACTTGTTGCTGATCCAGAAAATCCATCACATTTTCTACAGTGCCAGCCAGCACCGAATAGTTTGTATTGTGGAAGATGGCAACGCATGTCTTGTGAACCAGGCCTCATTTTTAATGCTTTGCTACAGGTCTGCGTATGGAATCCTAGTAAGCTCTTGCCTGTTTTTTGCCTATTTAGTGTTATTGTATAATCCACCCAATTGTTACAAGATATTCAAAATCTTAAAAGGTATTTCTTGCTAACATATTTTCCAATGTTTTAGTCTTTTGACCATATCATATCATAAATTAAAGGATTCTGAAAAAAGGGTCAAGTAATGAAGGTAAAAACAGACTAACAGGTATAAAAATATAAGAGGACGTCATGTTGTATCAAATTAATGAAATTGAATTTCCTTATCAAAGTGTGGACTTATTAAGGCACGCAATCAGAGGAAATTCCATTACTAAAGTATAGACCAAGTATTATTGCAACTTACTCATCAATAAGTCAGCTACCACATGCTTCAACTGGGTACCCAATATTTCCTACACCGGTCGTTTCTCGGTATGATACAAATACGCGGTGTACTTGTTATGCTGGTCTGCAGATTGGTTTTTGTGGTCCTAATGGTCAGTGCCCAGGCCAATCTATTTGCAAAAGCAATCAAATAACAGAACAAAGATCCGTAAGCAATTTCCAATTCCTTGATAAAGTAACTTTTTCGAAAAATTACGTATTTGTCAAGTGATTCTAAGATTCATTTCTTTTTTTAAAGTACCATTATCTTTTTAACTACGTTTTATTTATTTAGTTTCCCTTTGCTAAATTTCATTATGAATCACTTCGATAGCATTCAAGCTGCCTTAAAATATAAATTGCTATTTTGGAAGAACTGCAATTAAGAAAGTTGAAAAAGTAAACAAGTCATACAAAATTTCAGTGTCGGGTGTGCTGTTATTACAGTTAAGGAACTGTCTAAAAAACGCGACAAAAAAATTATTTCATATCTTTCTTATTCGCCTTATGATCGGAATTCAAATTTGATCTGATAGGTGAGACAATATTTCACCACTGCCCACTTTGAAAGTTTACATTTTTTATTACACACTAATCACCATTATCACCTGTAATTTCTTTAATTAAATCAAAAGATATGAGTTTCTGTTGGATTTCATCATTTTATATTTATAATTGCATCGCTGTTTTCGCTTTTTGTTTCAGATACTCATTCCTTAAGGACTTTTAATCTTTGGTTTTAAGTGAAATTTTATAAAATTGTTTTCAACTTAAAAAATAAAGAAATAAAGGATAGGAGTGTTTTTAAAAAATCAACAACTTAAGAAGTGTCATAACGAATTAGGATGCATCAAACTCTATTGAATTCTATGCCTTATCTATTATTTTTTGTAATAAAGATTCTTCATTGGATATAATTTTAATTTGTTATAAAAAAGAAACAAAGTACTATTCATCTTTGAAATTCGTGATTTTTTCTGAATGCAGGTATGCAAGCACTGCATTCTGAATGTGGGTATCGAAGCACAACACTCCAAATGCGCTCGTGAAGTCATTATGAATTTTCGATTAAAAAGTTTATAACGCACTTGGCAAATTTTCAAAACATTTCATTTGACGGTGTACTTTAGAATAGTCCTCATTCTATGCACAAGTTCCAATACACTAATGCAGTAAACCACCACGCACTTTTCAAACTTCTGTACAACCACAACTTTAATTTTCATAGTGCTGATGTTGCAACATTTATCTATTGATCACTACTCTTTTTGGTTGGAAGGTTCCAAAAGATCATTGGTAAACACTTCTTTCTTCATCTGCTCTTCCATTTTAGTCACAACTCTCAGTTCACGTTGAACATACGAAGAAAAATTTTGTATGTCAAATTTTCAGAAATCGTGCGAATTTACGATAGAATTATTAAATCAAAGTTTCAATTTATCTGTGCAAAGATATTATTGCAGATTTCAAAAAAAAAAATCAATTCAATTCTTTAAGACATGTGGTCACGCTCATTCTTTACAGACTTACACAGGGAAAAATTGTGTTTGCGTAAAACTGTTTTATCAGAATCTTAATTTTTGGAAAGTCACGAGAGATAATTTTCTGCATCGAAATAGTGTTTTGCTTCCTTAGATGCTATCAGTAGTAAAAATATTTCAGTGGAAGATTACTGTAATCTGTTTGCTAATTCTACTCATTTCTTGAAATTTCTAAGCAGCGTGCTTAATTTCCGGAACGCGAAGATTGCAGAAAAGTCCAGTACTGAACAGGGGTAAAAAAGTTGAATATTAACAGAAGAAAAAATTCATGTAACTGTCTTAGTAAACTAATTGTTGACAATTCGTTATTTTCCTGAACATTCTGAAGCACAACTATTTACCATAAAAATTAATACTTTTTCTTGAATAAAATTGTAGACAATTATCAAACAGTTGTAAAAAGTTCGAGATTCGAGTGAATATAAATTTCAAACGAGTATAATTCATAAATCGAACATTTCCAATATCTCTGAACGTCACATTTATTAAAAAATATATGGATCACTTATTTGAGTTGATTGTATGTTGTCATTTAAGCAGCTGTTGCTTGTACTGACCAAAAGATTGTTATTGGGAAATCGAAATAAAGCTAGGTTTCTTTCAAACATTGTGAAAATATTAAAAATGAAACATTCACTATTAATTAAATAATTCATTAAAATCTAGGACAACTACAAGAAAAACTTCAAAAAAATTATTGTTTTAGTTAATTAGTCTTTGTTATTTACAATTTATTAAAAATCGTAAAGGGATCAATATCCATTGAAATCCTTAACTGAAAAATTGTAGAATGATTGGATGGCTTTACAAATAATAAAAATTTTGCGAAACAATTGTTTCATCAAAAGTTAATGAAGCACACTATTGTTTCTGTCATTAAGCACCGTCTGTTGGACATCCATGACCCCTCTCGCCAGGTTGACATTTACAATCTCGATCCTTCATTCGCCGTTCTGTGATATCTCGTCCGTCCTGATCTTTTCCGATCACGCACAAACATCCTGGAATTTTCAGAATTACCAAAATTAACATTTGCTTTCGAAATTTGTAACCATACCGTTGTGATTAAACTGGAAAGTTAGGAGAACAAAACTTATTGCCAATCGCTTTATAAACATATAATAATTGGTTTAGCCTACGCAAACGCTTTCATCTGAACAGCAATTTTTTTCAGACATTGCAATATCTCTGAACATTACGTTTATTTAAAATATATGGATCACAGTTAAGTTACAATTCTAAGATTACTCGAATTATTTGTATGTTGTCATTGAAGCAGCTGTTACTTGTACAGATTAAAAGAAATACTTTTTTATTTGGAAGCAGAAATAAAATTACGTTTCTTGCAAACGCTATGGAAATATTAAAAATTAAGTACTTACTACTAATTAAGTAATTCATAAAATCCAGGACAACTGGAAGAAAAACTTTAAAAAAAACTATTGTTTTCCAAAAACTATTTGCTTTTTGAAGCCTGAAGTTAAAAATTATACTTACCCTTAGGTCTCGGAAAACATCCTTCTTTGAGCCCCTTGAATTTTTCATTTAATTCATTAATGACTGCACGATAATTTGCTTGAGCTCGTTCTCGAACTGGATCACGAACACTTTGTGTTGTTCTTCTAATCATCTAAAAGAATATCTTCTGAGCAACAAAATGAAAGAGAGTTCAATGTAAAGAGTGTAAATACTGGCCGTTGAGAAAGAATTGAATTTAGGATTCGGTTAAAATCCTGAAGGTTTTTTGCTGTAACACCGAAATTTAACGTTTATTGTAAACCTTTAAACGACTTAAGATCCGATGATTAGAATCAGTGGCGAGACCTCACACAAGTGTGCTCAACATATTTTGATTAAACGGATGAATTTCCATAACTTCTGCATTAAACCGGGTATATAAGGATGTAAGAATTGATGCGTAGCACGTTTAAGGTGTAATTGGTGCATAGCACGTTTTAGCAATGGAAAAATTATCGGGTAAAAACAATTTCGGTGGCCATAGAATGGCTTTCATTTTTTGATTCATTTTTCTCTGCCATGAAGAAATATGAATCAAAAAATGAAAATAGTGGCGATATGGTGATTTTGGTAATCATCTTCGGATCTTGTAGAGATCTTTAATACAAGAATGCACACTAAATATGGTGAAACTATGGCTTGAAATGCATAGCGAAATATCCAAATCATTAAAAAAAGGTATTGTATGGCTGTTCGTGGTCATCCTCCAATATCTTTCTGTCGATCGGTTAAGGAGCAAATAATCTTTATACTGTGGAAAACTCGGAAACTATTTTTAGCACTGTGCATAATGTAGTTTATGCAGGACGTATTTTTAAAGATCCTAATGAGAAATTTTACAGATATGCAAAGCCCTATTGTGAAATGGTAATGAGTGTAAATTACAAACGGTTTAAAAACAAATAATCCTTTTATTTTCTAGTTTGATTTAAATCTAAGACGAATACCCCTTATGCAATATCAAAAACTGAAATGGATTAATGAGATAATGGATTTGGTTCAACTACAAATACATTGTTATTTGTAGGTCAGAACTGTGATCCAGGCGTGCAGCAAACAAATAGAGCTTTATTATTGGTCAAATTTGTAATAAATCTAAAGAAATAGAAAAGTTGTCACAATTCTGAAATTTTCGAAATGCGTTCGGAAATTTCAAAGAGAGTATGTCTTTATTAACTTTCGCTATGTAATCTCCATTAGCATTAACAGAAGTTTTTAGCATACCAGTGGAATTTTGCATTGCGTTTCGTCATCATATTTCCTCACCACTTTATCACCGGTTGCATTTCTCTCAATGCACTTACAACCTCCAGATGGTGTCGGAAAGCAGTCTTCCTTGTAATTACCATATCGATCCTTGATTTCCTCACCCAGTTCTTTTTTATTATGTACTGTTTGCACTGAAAAAACTCTTATTTTCTAAAAGTTCGTAAAATACAAATTTTGATATGTGGTTTAATTAATTGTTGTCTGGATCAGACAATTTGTAAAAAACGGTTGCTTGTACCGGTTCTCCTCTAATAGGATTCGTCATATCTATGATAATCGTTTATCAATTTTTTATCCATCATTAATAGTGAACAAAAGATGAACCCAATTCAGAATCTAATAAGCGGCTCAATTTGAATGCTAATGAAATTTTGAATCATAGGATGTTAACTTTAAACAGATCATTAAGATCGAAAGATTTCTTCTTTCTTTATTATGGTCAGTGGAAATATTCTACAAACTCAATGTTTGGTTTTATATAGTCAATATGGCACTAATGTATTACATTTTTCTGTCGTTCCTTTCCTTTTTCTGGGAATAAGAAAGACGAGTGCAATGTCCTGCAGAATGCACACAATTGCAAACCGATGTGTGATGAAATGTTTTAAGATGATATCTTACTGTCCATCATTCCACATTCATCAGCTGTTCTCTATGAAGACTTGGGAAGCATATAAAAATAAATCGCAAGCAAGATAGAATTACACTAAAGCTGGATCAGTATTTCACTCAAAGCAAGTGCAGAAATACGTACAGGCCGCGCTGAATATTTTGACTTGCTGATAAGCATTACATTGAATAGAGTGAAATGTTATGTTCGATGTCATTTAAGTTGCCTGGTTTTGATGTAATGCTTTGAGTGAGATACTGATCGAATGTAACGCAAGATTATTCAATCCTAAAAGCTAATGTAACCATTCTATGCTAGCTGATTGTCTTATAAATTCTTTCAAAATATCCGAAATTTTCACGATACTGTGAACAATTTTATCAACTTCTAAAAATGTTCGAAAAAAAACCAATGCTATCAAAAATTTCAGTTGATTTTTTCGGAACGAATAGATAATAATATTTGGAATTTTCCCGAAGATTTCAGAAGCACAGTAATATGTAGATACCTGTAATGTCTAATTTGCACTGTTCATCGGAATCGTAATTTTCAACGGTTTCGGCACCATTTCTTTGTTTCACAGTACACATACATCCACCACTAGGTCGCGGGAAACAGTTCTCCCGCAAATTGTCGTGCATTTTTTTTAGTACTGCTGCCGTATCACGTTTCATGACTCTTACACTTGTTATCTCAAACAGGTAATTTCATTAAACTTAAGACAGAAAATATATTTAAAAAATATAAGTAATTTAAATCAATGAGGATTCCAAGTAATGTATTAAATCTCACTTTATTCATTAATGTCCAAGTAATTTATAATAGTGAAAGACAGTTGAAATTATTTCTTTATCTTTGATTTTCAAAAATATATATTTAATTGATAAATAGTAAATTTAATGGGAAAAATAACAGACCGATGGTATTGTAAAAATGAAAGAATAAAAGATGAGTACAGGAAAAAGCATTGTGCCGAGAACTGAGGGCATTTTTGAATCCTTCGAGTTTCTTTTATAAAAATTTAAAGCACTGCAAGGAGAAGGGTGTTTGTTCAGCACCGCACCAACTGGCTCCAGTTGTTCTCACGATGGATGTTGATTGCATTGCTGGTAATTATTTATTTCTAACACAGAACTTTTAAATCAAATTCGATATGCCAACAAAACATATAAATCGAACTGCATACTATTCAGCAACGCTTTTCCGCAAGTAGCTTCTGAGCTCCTGCTACACACATTTTGTGTAATTCATAAGCAGCTAGTTTATTCATTCCTCCAACTTCAAAACACTACATGACAGTCACACAACTGATCATCATCATCAATAATATCTCTACCATGACTCATCACTAATTTCAAATAACACGTACTGCTAATAATCTCGTTTACGAAATTTAACATTATTGCATTGCTATTGATAAATGCAGCTTCGTCGCAAGCTAAAAAAAGAGAGTTGCTTAAAAATATAGTCCAATGATAATTACTTATAATTAAAAAAACATTGTTGGAAAATCAACTCATACTTAGTTTGAGAAAACTCTCGACCTTAAATAGTTTTTTATTTACGCGTACATTAACAAATCCTCCCTTGAATAACCAGAAAATTTTTATTTAGAATCTGAAAATTTACACCTAAATAATTCTGACCTTGACCATCATCAAAATTTAGTGAGACATTGATTTTGAGTTGCAAAACATGTAGTGTGAAATTCTTTTTGCTAAATTTCTTTTTCCGAAAAATCAAGTGTGCCCACTGCCCGCTATGTCTCAATAATTCAAAAATGATCTCCGCCTTGAACTTGAAGCCTTGGACAGGATCCTTGCGGATGGGTCAGGGCCATAGAAGGAGTCTTTCGCCTTATATTTTGCACTTTTCAATGAAATAATTGTGTGAAATAAAAGCCAGTTATTGGAGAATTTAAAAGAATCAAGCACTGGACAGCACAGTAAAAGCAATAAAAACTGAAGACAGCTACGGGTAAAACATATCTGATGATAGGAAAGCGAAATCCACACTGCAATCGGTCCGAAATAAGCTTACTTTTGCGCAGTTATTTTATTATATTGTATGTTGTCAATTTGAAACTTTCTACTCATCCATTTCTTTAATCTTAATACATTTTGTTTTTGGACGCTTACTACTTCATCGATTATCAGCTATTAATTATCCAATAACTTGCTTCCTTCAGATAAAAACATTAGTGAACGTTGGCAGAATAATTTTTAAATAAGCTGCTGTGCAAGGATATTTTACCAGCATAATTTTTAAAAAGATCATCTTGAAAGGATATTTTACCAGGATTATTTTTAAATAAATTGCCCTGGAAGGGTATTTAACCTATATAATCTTTAAATGAATTTCCTGCAAGAGTATTTTGATAGGATAATTTTAAAATAAAGTGCCTGCAAAGGCATTTTAGATCAAGATTATTTTGAAATTAGTTACCTCGCTAGGGTATTTTACCAGGATAACTTTTAAATATTTTATCTTGCAATGGTATTTCATCGGAATACCTTATGTAAAAGTTGCGATGAAAGAGTATTTTACTAGGATAGCTTTTAAATAGATCTCTCTGCAAGATTGTCCTATCAGGAGGGTATTTTGTCGGAATAGTCTTCGTATAAGCTGCCTTGAAAAGACATTTTACGAGCATAATTTTTAAATTAATTGCCCGCAAGAATATTTTGCCCAGATAGTCTTTGTGTAAGCCACCTGCAAGGGTTGCAAGCGTATTTTGACAGGGATAATTTTAAATAAACTTTCTGCAAGGGTATTTTACCGCGATAATTTTCAAATAAATCGCCGTGCAGAGGTATTTTTTATCAGGATAATTTTTAAATAAAATGCTTTGCAAAGGTATTTCATCTTTTAATTAAGAATGCTACGTAAATTCTTATAACGTTAATATCCTTTTCAAATAAGTCTGACAACTCATAAATTCGTGTTAAATACTACTCCCTTAAAATTAGTTTTATCATTTTCTAATAAAGACTGATACTCAACAATCGATATTAATAAAAAATTCATGACTGCTCAAATATGGAATCGAAAGAAATTTGCAATTGTAAATAAAAAAAATATTTTAAAATACCATAAAGAGGAAGGAGATCCGACAATGTTGCCAGCGGGATATTCGAGATTTACTGTTGATGACTTCCAATTTCAGCTATTCGGACGATAAAAAAAAATTGAAAAATCATGCTGTTTGAAGTTTCACATAATCACAGAGGTAAGTACAGTCTTAAACAAAGACTTAAATGCCCAAAATGCACCATTCTGCAGACGGTGCAAGAATGACCTGTTGCATGCTGTCCGCTGAACACAAAAAATACATGTATTACTTGCGTGCAGCTCTGCTTCTCCTCGGTCTTGTTCATCCTGCATTAACGCACGCTGAGTATTGCTAGTTGTTCCAAGCTCTTTTTCTATTACTTTATCTTTCCTCATCTCACTAGCGGCCCATCGCACTAACAATCATATGCCATACTCTCATCCATTTCTTCTCTTCTCTCCCATTCTCTCTCTATGTGGCAATATGATAGTTATCGGAACTAGAATTTTTCTACATATGTAGAGAGAATGTGAGGGAAATGCAGCGAGGCGGGGGAACGAAAAGTCACATGGCAGCCAATCGTTCCCTCATGTAGCAGTTTGTGACCACTCTACTCTCATTCCGTTTAACGTACGATCAACCCCTTCAGTGAGCGGTCAATTCGTGGACTTCTGCTATCGCTTATACCAGTGGTGTTATTGCAAGTCACCACGTTGCTACCCCGCTACTGCTGCTGCTATCACTACTGATTGATAGTTGTATATTTGATTCATTCCCTCATTGCTTCCCAACTATACTCCATATCGTTATTTCATCTTGTCCGCCGAATATATTTGGCTACCTGTATCCGTGAAGTAATCATTCACTGCTGAACTTGTCATTAAACACCTCATTATATTCATGTCATTTTACCTTCAGTGTTCTCATCATATTTATTGCTAATACAGAGGTACAAGCCGATTCAATTCTACTAGGTCACTCTCCTCTGTTTTTGCTCCCACCACCTCTTCTCTTCAATATCTGCACTCTTACCCATAGTAGTAATCATGCACTGATAACTTATCATTATGAGTTACAATTATTTATTCAAAATCGTTATTGTTGGCGATCATAACTGTGGCAAATCGTGCATTTTGCTACGCTTTGCTGAGAATTCATTTCGCCAGGATCACATTACTACGCTTGGTGTTGACTTTAAACTGAAGACAGTCAAACTTGGTCGTGACAAAATCCGGCTAGAATTATGGGATACAGCTGGTATTATTTTGTTTTCTTATCATTTCATTTATTTATGAGCAGCTGTAATTCATATCATGCTGATTAGTATTGCATTTACCAAGTGAGAATATAAACTGCTGTTAGTTCAACCTATTGATTCTCACATTATATCACGTAGAAAAGGCTGCTTAACATGACTTCTGATTCAGAAGCAATAAATTTATCCTCTTCCATTTACGTATATATAAACGGCAGATTTCAGAATGACAGAATTTATGCCTTGAAGTTCTTCATAAGCTGTAGGATTGAGTTGAGAAAAGTGTTATATGTTGTATAGTTAGGATAACTGTTAATGATTTGGTCATAACGCGAAATCACTTATACACTCCGCCTACGATTTTTAGAACTATGTTCTCGCATTGTCTCCAGTAGATAATATGTATGCTGAATAAAACAGTTTGCGATGATTGTTAAAAGTAGGATTAGATAATTGAAATCAAATTAAAATGAAGAAGGAATACTTCTAAAAATATTCGCTGCTTTCAAATTTTTGCAGGAATGGAACGTTATAGAACAATCTATAACTCATATTATCATTCAGCCCATGGAGTAATGTGTGTTTATGATTTGACAGACGAACGGTCTTTCGATAATTTGCGTAATTATTGGTTAAAGGTAAATTTTATGGAGGAAAGTAATTTAGGATAATTTTCTGCGAATAAATGTGTTGTAAATCTTTCTGAGAGCGAAATTTATTGTTTGAGAAGCCGTTTTTCATTTCAATGATTCGCTGGCCAAGATTTAAAAGTTCCTAAGAAAATTGTTCGACTGTCAATATTATTCAAAAATAATTTTTCTAAAGACATCGATAAAAGGCAAATGCCACGTGATTTCGCTTGCCAACTGATGTTTCTTTAGTTTTTCAAAATATCGGTAATGGAATTCTAGTTGTAAAATTACTTCATTTACGGCTTCTTTCTGTTTTAGTCAAGGTTCCACTATTGATTATTCTGGCGTTCTTTCTAGTTGTTAAGAAAAAGCATTCGATGAATGAATAAGCTATGGCACTACTAACTAATGGAATTTCTGTAATTAAGTGGAAAACAATGGAAAAAATGGCTGTATGTTGCTGTACTATGAAGATTTATTAATAAAACATATTGTAGGAAATTCGAGTACATGCGCCATCAAATGCAGTGTTAATGTTAATCGGAAACAAAGCTGATTTAGAAGACAAGAGAATGGTTAATTTTGAACGCGCTGAACGGCTTGCTAGCCAGCTTGGAGTCTCTCTTTATGAAGTTGTTCTTTTTTTAACGTATTTATTAATGGGAACTCTTGATCATGCTCTTGCTACGTTTTTTATATCTATGTTTCTTTACTTAATATTTAAGTTCCTAAAATTGGTGAATAGTATTGTGAAGTAGTTGTTACATAGCTAGCAAATGAGGATTTCAGTTCTTTTATGTCGTTTTCATATAAATAAATCGTACAGGCATGAATGGCAAGAAGCGAAAAATACAAAATATAGTAAATAGAAAATAGTAACTGTTTGTTCTTTTGTGTGCTAATTCTATACGTGCCTTAAGAATAATATTCTTCCGGAAATATTAAATATTAGAATATCGTTTAGGACAGATTCTGAAATAAATGTGTGCCATACAGTGGCGTTTCGGTGAGATTGAAATCACTGCTGTTAAGGCCAAATCATCAATGTGGTAAAGGATGATAAATGCAATTTCCTTTGTTAATATTGCTTCCTAGAAATACTGAATCATATCCAGGCAATCGAGTTTGTAAGGTGGGAAATGTTCGGGAATACAAACAGTTAAAAGTGATAGTTATAGGTGAGTGCGAAGACAGGAATTAATTGTGACGATGCATTCTATAATTTGGCGGCAGCAATGCGCGACCGTCTGTTAGTATCTAACATGCATTCCGATTCAGAAGATAGCGATCATCTTGGTTCTGCTTTTCATGTTGATGGCGTCACCATTCCCGATAAAAAGTCATCCTTTTTACCATCATGCTGTTCTTCAGTAGCGCAACCAACTTTTGTTTGATTATTGTTGCTACGCTATTTAATCATTTGTTACCAGGATATGTATGCCAGGTATTGGTATTCTGTGTGCGTCTTAGCTTATGCTTTTTGGGAAGAAATTTCCGTAGTCTAATAAGAAATCACAGAAACAATGTCTGTAATTTGATAAGACAACTTCCATCACCGGCAATCTGTAGGAAAATATCTTTGTTAATAATCATACATCGTACTTTTGTATTTTGTAACTATTTAAGTTTGTAAAGAATTTGTTTCCATTTGTATGTTTTCTGAAAATGAGGAAAGAAAAGATAGGGAGGTTGCGTGTATAGCAAAAGTTTCTAAACTTCTTTTCATAGCAAAAGTTTCTAAACTTCTTTTCAGAATTGTTCTTGCTCAAACTTTAATAAATGCTCCGAATAAATTTTTTTTGTTTAGATATCGCCCACTATCCGAGAAGGTATCTTGGAAAACCTGTTATAAGCGGTGGAAGGAAAAAGGAATAGGGCGAGCGCATCATTGCATCACGATGGTGAACAAGTTTTGAGGTGCGTGATGCTGGTGTTAAAGACACCGCCTCGCTTTAAATCACTGAAGTTAAAGAATCCTAGGTAGATGGTATGGCGATCTTTTAAGTGACTCTCGTCATGGTCGTGTGAGCTATTTACTCACAGACCGAATACATGGCTCCGAAGGAAACAAGTCATGACTGGTGTCTTGATTATTTGTAGGGATATTGATGTATTCAGTATTTTTGTTCGATATTACTGTGCAGGTACGCTCAGCGTTCAAACTTTGAAAAAGCATTTAGATAGGGAGGGGTGTATTCGCCTGGGTTTTTGCAACAAAATGTCAAATGTACCACTGGACATGGCAAGTATGTTGATTTTGAAAAAGACAAGTTGCGTGAGTTCACATAAAAAGATCCGTAGGACATATAAATGTGTGAAACAGCTTGCACGACATTTTTATAGAACTTGTAGCCCAATGGTCAACGACTGGATTTGTGGAGATTGTGTACTTCTGTGGTTGTGAAGATGAGCGGAAACAGAAAAGTACTGAGTATTTATTAAAGAGCAATAAGCTGTAAATTTTTTTTCGTAGGAATGTATGAAACCCTTTCATCACATATAAGGAAACATAGTTGGATATAGAAAGATATGACGTGATTATAACGTAGTATCACAGTACTGATCTCTGGCTGATGCTAGGAATTCCAAAAATTAAGGATCTGCCATCAGCACTTTTTTACCTTTTGAAAATAAATTGTAATAATAAGTGCTGTCTACAGATGGAATCTTTCATCTTTTCGAAGTCATTGACGGACAAGGGAAGGTGTCGCTTTCAGCACTTAGCTATCATTTTATCACTCATACTACCTTATAGTCAGGTTTTCATGAAGTCAATTTCAAAAACTGCAGTATGATGCATGAGGGATAACTGCCTGCTGTTGAAGTATAGACTTATTACAGTAAGTCTGGGATTCGTTAAGACCAGGTAACTCAAACTTCAGGTTTGCTAATCAAAGGATGAAATAAACGAAAAGATTTCAGTTTAACCGAATGACTCATCCTTTAACCGAATGACTCATCCTCTAAAAACTGAGTGAACGGATGGTGATTCCTTCGTTTTCCTGCATAGATCATCGTCATCACGGATGATTTCTAAAAGCTGATTTCAATAGGGCCTATTTCATCCTTCCTCTCCAACATATTTGATGGGATAGGGCAGTATCGGCGTAGTTATATTTTCGGGCCGCATGAAGATTGCGTACAATGTGGTGATGTGGACGGGTGAAATTTAATTTTAGTTTATTATGTATTCATTATTGTTGGCTGGTTGCATATTGGGAAGGGATAATTGTGGTTTGCAAAAGTCAAGGTTTTATCTGGTGTGCAAATAGCACGGTTGAAGGAATTTGTCTCATAAAGCTTGATTCTGCACTGTAGAGACCAAATTAGCGACCGAAAGCAGTTAGATAATTGCTTATCTCAGCTTTTTATAACTTGAAGGGTCCGCTAATATGGAGGGCTTCTTTTTATAAATAATCCGTCGGCTTATTTGCTACCCACTTTATCCAAAATTTTCGAAAGTTTTCTTTTTTTAAATTATGGTGATTGCGGTATTTCCTAATCTCGACACTACTTCATGTAATGTTGAACCTTTCATAGTCGAAAAAATTTCAGATTGCTTGAAATTCGCTTTCAGTGATGGGTGAGTTCTTTCCCGTGTTATCGTTTTCTCGTACATACAAGCAAAAGTCATAGTAATTAAACCAATGGGAATAAAACTCTTGCCCACCCAAAGTATAACAGCTGTTTAGTTATTTTAGGCGGAGTGCTGAGCTATTTCCGTAGCTTATTTGGACAGAAAGAGTTGAGAATTTTGATATTGGGTCTAGATGGCGCGGGAAAAACAACTATTTTATACAGACTTCAGGTATTTTTATTTCCATTTGAGCTATTAATTTCATTATTCATAATAAAGGTTTGATGATTTGGAAATCGGGACTTGTTGTCGTGGTATATTTTTGGAAACATATCAGCTGTTTGTTATTTTTTATAATTGCAGGTAGGCGAAGTTGTGACGACGATCCCAACTATAGGTTTCAATGTGGAGCAAGTTGTTTATAAGAATCTCAAATTTCAGGTATATTCTTCAAAGAAGAGTACTTCTTGTAAATACTTCGTATCAAAGTCGAGCAGTAGTTGGGATTGGTCTATTCTGACTTTGACTTAACTTGGAATGTTCTACTATGGTTAGGAAAGAACGAACTCCTTTGGGATATATGCCACAATGAGCTAAAATTCAAACCAAGGCTTGACAGTTCAATATCGTGTTATTCTTCGTCACTCAACACTCATTGATTTAACCGTTCTATCTGATAAAATTAATTTAGATGCGTACAAAAAAAATTGTTACATCTAGAACAGAGAGCATTCACGTTAGTAACGCATTACAGGTATGGGATCTTGGTGGTCAGACATCAATTCGTCCATACTGGAGGTGTTATTACTCGAATACCGATGCCATAATATATGTTGTCGATTCGGCAGATAAAGATAGAATCGGTATTTCGAAGCAAGAACTGGTGTCAATGTTAGAGGTCTGATATGTTTAACCTCGACCACCGCCAAAGCATTTTAGAGAAGTCGAGCGAGCGATGATATATATGTTAATTTGCTGGAGAGTTATTTGCAATTTTGAAATGAAAATTAAAATGCATTCATGCTTTAGTACGTCCCAATCAAAGCATCCATTTTCTACTATGCAAGCCACACGTGTGGCTTCCATCACAGTGACTGTGCTGATTGTGTCATCTGGACTCATTGTTTTCCAAGCCTTATATATAGTATATCAGTTTTCAAATGCTTTTACTATAAGCGCACAGAATTAAAAAAAATTCTTATGTTGCAGGAAGAAGAATTGAAGAGTGCTGTTTTAATGGTTCTAGCAAATAAACAGGATATTCCAAGTTGCCTTTCTTTGGCTGACGTGCATCGTAGTTTAGGATTGGATGCTCTTCGAACAAGAACGTTTCAAATTTTTAAAACGTCTGCGACAAAAGGTGAAGGATTGGATGAGGCAATGGAATGGTACTACCATTTTTATTTGGAACAGAAATTAGCAAAAACAAATGAAGCAGTATCAATACAAACATTGTAAAACGTAATAGCAAATCTTATATTGCTTCAAAAGTTCTTGCAGGTTATCGAACAATTTGCAGCAGAGGAAATAGGAAAACGATTATCGCTAACATGCGTAACCGTGTTAGCTTGTCTCTATTGAGTTCTAGTTTCTTGGTGATTTTGTTTTTGTAATTGTAGTCAGTAATACTAAACAGAATTTCCATTGTTATGTGCAAAAGTCCAACGAAATCTCGACAATCATAACTAGCCTAACAGGTTCTCTTCTTCGGAAGAAACAATGGCACCACCACAACAGAAATTATATAAATTCTGTAATATCCCTTTCCTGAAATGACAGGATTTATAATAGATCCACCCTCAAACAGTCCATACTTTACGCACACTTCTGATCACTTTCCATCCGAATAAAAGACACTTTTTACAAATAACAGATTCTTAAAATATACACTTTTGTACCGCTTCTCTTTAAACCAAATTCATTTTAAAACCACTCACGAAAACGGGCTCTTTATTGTTAAGTGGTCTCCGGTTGAGTGAAAATGTTCATATCTATAAGCGTTAAGTCTTTCGTTTGTTGTCATTTCACAAAGTATCTGCAATTTGTGGAATTTTTATACTCACGAATTCATGCGAAAAGCATTTAGGAGGGGTGTTTGCGTTCATATTTGTCCGCACGTCTTCCCTTGAAAGAAAAATTAATGCTAGCTTCAATCATATTCTTTAAACCGCAAATCGAGGCATAGAAATGTGCTTCTTGCACATTGCTTCATTGTCCGTACAAATCTATTAACATTTAAAGCAGTTCCAGCTTTCATAAATTTACTTCTGCAGTCCACCAGAATGAAGTTAAACTGTAATTTATACCATTAACAAATTTGCTCTTACCTGATATATTTGAAATACGAACATTGCGCTTGTCCATATAAAATGATAAAGAGCTATGACAAAAACATAGGTCACCCAAGGATTACAGTATGTAATATTTGCTCGAGAGATCTCACCACATGAATCACGCCAATCTTAAAATTATGTAATCACAAACCCTCGAAGCATTCATGTTTGCCTTGAGTTGTAATTATGTAAAAGTCCATAAAATTCATTGATTTCACATTACTTTCAGTTCGTTTTAGATGTTTGCCCCTTTTCAGAACGATTATGATTTGCAAAAAACTGATTCATTTTCACTGCAAAACTTCTCCACATATTGTACTCTGGTTGTTCAATGACTATCGCTGTTTCATATCTTGCACCTTGCTCATCTAATCGATAAAGTTTTGAACAATGTTCCTTTTGCCACTCTTGTAGCCAGTATATTACCAAAAATGGTAACACTGCATTCCCTTGGATTGTTGGATGAATGTTATTCAGCACAGTGTGTCGCTACCGTTTAAACATATCGTCCACTGTTTCGATACTGTGCGAAAAGTTAGCTTTGACGGTCCGTATATCATTCCATCCAACCCATAAGCTCGTAGGATTCCTTATAGTAAAAGCAACCTAGTTTTGAGCATGAGGGATCTAATAAGCATGTTAAAGTAAAGAGAGCTTACAGTGGAAAGTTGCAACAAGAAATTGCAGTGAAGAAGCAATGACAATACTGAGATAAAAAACAAAGTGTAAATGATTTTTTTCTCCAATACAATTCAGAACCCATGGACAGTGGTGATCAAACCTGCAATTATCCAGGTTTTTATTAAAAGGTCCTGAGGTAATCTTACTTCTGCAAAGAATGGAAAGGAACACGGTCTCTAAAAATCAACAGCTATATGCTAAGTGTTGCTTGAAACAAAACCAAGTCCTACGTAATATGTGTTTGAAAAGTTCAAAACTTGATTCACAAGGTTAAAATTATGAAATCAAGTTACGGCATCATATTAAAGATGCCATGCAACTGAATATAATGAGGTGTTTATATTTTAAAAGACTGAAAAATTATCTACATTTCATGGTGTGAAAAAATCAGTGACTCTCCTAAAGATCGAATCAGAACTTTGATCTGATCTTTGCATATATCTTAAAGAAACGAAAACGACCTTTTGACGCAACGATCACACACTGAGCAATGCTTTGATCTTGCTGGCCTTTTTAGTAAACATGTGCTACAAAATGAGACTGCTGGTTGATTTTCTTTCTCCCACATATCGCGTATCATTTCACACCGTTCCTGAAAGTACAATATAAATAAACCTTAACGAATGGAGATAAATCAGAAAAAATAGTATTAACATAAATTTAAAAAATGGCTCAGCTGGAAGTTCAAAACAGTTCAAAACCGAGTTTTTACACAGCTATACACAAAAATAGCTCCACTCTAACAAAACATAAAACGAGGTGAAGGGAAAATATGCTTAAAATTTCAAAAGAATTATATTTACGTTGAAGAACTAAAAGTTGAAGAGGTTATGGACAACTTCAATTTCCAGATGAAAACATTTCTACAGACTGATCAAAGTAATTTTTGAAAAATTTTGGGAGAAAAAGTGCGTTAAAGCATTTACTTTATGAGACACAGTGATGACGCCAGGATCGGAAAAAACAATCCATAAAAACAATACTGGCGCAAGTATTACAAAGATGACGAAACTAATTTGCCAATACCATCCGGCAAAGGCATGCAGATACAGTAGCCAAGTCACTGCCAAAATAATTTTCGATGCGACTGCTGCGCCTAAAGGTATGATGTAGAAACTCCGATCTCTTCCGAGTGACCTGAAATCAATCCTCTTGAAACGACAGTCTCGAAAATAAGTTTTCGTTTTGCAAGCTGAGATCAAAAAAAGTATGAACAAGCACCTGTAAACGGTTCGTCCAAGAACACCAACTAATAACAGTAATAAAGCCTTGATCGTATACGATAAAATAATGTGCAAAATTATACCCACAGCCACCATAGTACATATGGGTAGAAAAAACATTATTCGGGATATTAATACCTATAAAAGGTAACCAAATCAAAAAAGGTAGTTCAAATGGTAAATAAATTGGAAAAGTTCAAGAAAATGAAATAAATCTCTGATTTACATAAACAAACTCACATCATTTTCCTTCACATACTGGATAAAAGTAGAAGAGATCAGTCCTTTTCTGCGTTCAGCCCTTTCTAAAATCCGTGCACTAATGACATCTCCTCGTCGTGTTGCAACATCGCGAGGAGTTTCATTATCACGATTACGAAGCACTAATTCGGCATTATATTTTATCAAAACATTAACTGCCGAATGATTACGCCGTATCACAGCCCAATGCAAAGCTGTATTTGCGTAAGTTGTATCGGTACAAGACAAATCAGCACCCATTGTTATTAACATCTGGAGAGGATCGCGACTGAAAACCTGAAAACGCAATGCAACATAAAGTCCTTAAATTAAATAGAATAATGTAATGTAAAGCAGGAAGTATATGAAATTACAACTCATCGGGTTTGAATAGTACTTATTTAAAATTATTTCAAACCTTATACGCTGCCCACATTGCCGGTGTCATTCTTGTTTCATCCCTTTCATCGGCAGACTGTCCTGTAGCAATTAAATACGCAGCTGTTGAAGTTCTTCCAAACTGCACAGCAACATGAAGAGGAGTAAAACCTGCAAAGTCAAGTTATCGCAATTAAGTGAATGCAAATAAGAAAAAAACAAGAAAGTTGAGATATTAGTAAAATAGTTTCCACTTAATGTTTATACTTTAGGATGTAAAATGCAAACAATAAGTGGAAATTATTTTAGTTCCTCTCACCGTACAGTATCATGATTTTTGCAAATGAAGTTGTTTGTGAATGATAATGCAGAGTTTGGTTGCACATTAGTTGCCTGGTCAATTTTATCCTGTTTTAAACAGTATCTATTTAAGCATACGTCAAAGATGATAAACCAAACACCAAATTACTGATGAATGACCCCAAAAATGATCTGTTTAAAAATACCTTCAACATCACATAGATGAAGATCAGCTCCATGAGCAACCAATAAAGCAACCATATGTGTGTGACCGTGTCGTGCTGCCCAGTGAAGTGGTGTTGAAGCAAGTACGCCACCAACTGCGTTGACATTGCAACCGCGGTCGATTAATATTCGAGTTACGGACAAACTATAAACAAAGGATCGCACAATAAAGCTTGCTTGCTGCACTAAATATTTGTGAATAAATCAAAACTTTTAATTTCACTACAATATTTCAAATAGAGTAGGGTTGAGTTGGTACAATAACTCAGAAATAAACATACAAAAAAAACTTACCGGTTGTTAATAGCGGCCCAATGTAGTAAAGAGCAGTCATCAGCATCCAGCGTATCAGGCGTACATTCTCCAGAATCTAATAGTTCTTGCAATCTTGATATATTGCCAAACTGTGCAGCTTGTCGTGCATCCATTAAGGCTTTAAGATATCGGTAATATCCGCAGAACTTGCAGCCAGTTAGTAATAGCAGTCAACAACCGTTCCGTATTGATGAAAATACTCACGAAGAAAGATATGTTGTGAACGCTGAGATCAAAATTGACGACCACAACAGATACATAGTCCAGATAGGTACTAAATGCTGGAAATTTATTTTATGGTGAAATTCGAATAACCATTATCATGAAAAGAGATCTAAACACAACAACAAACGATATTAGCTACTTGTAGCAAAACTAGCCTCTCGATCGTTCCTTGCATGCTCTTAGCAGGTGTGCTGCAACATATCACCAGCAAGTCTACTTTTTGAATTCAGTACAGTGTACATCAAATGCGCAAATCAATGGGGCTGGGGATTGGGATAATAATCAAGGACAAACATAATTAGTACACTGCAACTTCCAGTACCAGTATGGCCCACAGTCCAGTCGACAACATATTGTGAGAAATGTTGCATTTCTTGAATCAAAAAGGTGGAAGCAAAGATTAGTGGGTAGAGAAAGTTCTAGGGTTGCAGTATATCTCATCCTCCTGCTTCCTCCTATATGGATTGATTTTTGAAAGCAGCGACAGATATAACAGTAGCCCTCGGTAGCAAATATTTGTTTGTCTTAGTGACGATTCCCTGTAACACTCCTATCTTATGCCGCCCCGAAGACTGCCAATACTGCAGATTGAACAGGTCACTGATTTAATGATAATTAGACCACTGCATAATGTTCCCGTATTAGATCTTTTTCACACACAAAACTCTCACCTGCGGCAAACAGAAGACACGAATGTCTTGTCATTCCCATACTTATCTCAATGTTTATTTTACTCACTCATATGGTTACAACCAAAATCGGTGAGATCATTTGGTACAGACATCCACGCAACTGCAGACCCTCGGTTCTTCTTCCTATTCATTATGTATAGATCGATCAGTGATACACGTTGTTTTCTCACATGCCACTCTGCGCATCACTTGTCATCCCTTCTAATTGGATTTTCAATCACCTTAACCCTGTCATGTCACACACAGCACAATGTAGTAATTCCAGGATATCGAGTTTCGCACTTAGCATACACAATCTGGTGCTACATATCCTACCTCGATAACTAAATCCCATACTCCAGCGGAGTAAGCAAGTGAGTTTTCTCAAATACAGTTGATGTGAAACAGCCTTTTTCCTAACGGCCCAGTCACAGTATCATACAACTTTTAATGGTTCGCAGTTTGCACTTCCGCGAATTATTGCGGAGGTGTTGGTAATGGTTCACATCGTTATGCGGAAGGGTGAAGGTGTGGATAAGTTTTAGTTATTCAACAGGTCAAGATTTCTTTTTTAATTAAGCTTATACCCTTTTTAATATTTTTTTGTTCATAATGAACTCAGTACGAGTCCAAGTGATATAGTTATTGAGTGAAATACGTACGGAATAAGAAATTTGATTGTTTCCTAGTTAAAAACTGACATTTTCGCATTTTTGCATTGGAATGCTTTCGTAATAAGCTTGCTATATGAAGTTCTAGAATGAAGCTGTTTCGCAGTTTTCCGTTTTCGTTTTTATGCTCTCTTGTTACCTCATGCAAGCGATCTCAGTAGTGCGTTATATTCTTTGCCTGCGGTTAAATGCAGCTTGGATCAATCGGAATAATGAATCCGAGAGAAATATGACAGATAGGGTTGTTCTATAACTTCACATTTTTGTCGTTTCGCTACTTTTCTGAAAGCCTTCTGGATTTGTTAGTTTTTTTTTTCAGGAGTAACAAATGCATCAGTTGTATCGTGATGCTCCGATAAGGTACGATATATTTTTAGAATTGTCTGACTGTTATGTTACCTATTTTTTAGTAATAGTGATTATTTTTGTTCGATCACAGATTATTAATCTTGGTATCCTGTGTAGATAACGAGCCGTTCATGTCCTTGGTGTCGGAGAGTTCGGGGCGACGTTCTTCGCCACATCGTAACTTACGAATGGTTCGAAATTTGTCACGTGGATGTTCTGGTTCAGTAGATGCTGGTACCTCCTTTATTCCCAATTTTTCGGCTGCTGCAAGTGAGGTATTTCTTTATGCAGTGCTGCTTCCATTTTATGTAGTCGAGTAATTCTCACTGTTTTGTTTTTTTCTCTATTATCATATGATTATTTATGTAGGGCATGAAATTGACAGCTGATGATGATAACTGGGCAGAAAATACTACGATTATAACTGGCAATACAAGCGAACATTCATATAGTGGTCTCGCCGAAAGAGCGCTTGTGGCTCCAGTTGGACGTGTTGTTGCAAGGAGATGTTCTCGGATATTTTGGCTTCTCAGTGCTTCGCTTATTTCATTTGTGGCTATTATTTCTCCCGCTCTTATGGTTGCTTTACCAATTATTTTGCATCAGATTGGATTCGGCTGGCCCGAGGTTTTTTCTATAATTTTTTTCATGTTAAAAGTCTAGCAAGTTAGGAAAATATTTGATGACAAAAATCGTTAGTAAACCAGCTTAAAATGGCGCGTCTTTTATTATAAGATTCTTGGTATATGGTGTAGTTTGAGATGCTTCGCTGTGATTTCAAAGTCTGCAGGTATTATGTGGTGCTGATTGCCAAGGACTGATGTTGAATTTGGCAGTGAAAACATTGTTATTATTAGGCGCACTTTGGGCGATGTATTTCCGGCATGCTTCAGCGGATATGCCACGTCTATTTTTTCATCGTGCTGCATTGGCATTCTTATCTTTATTCATTCTTTTTGCCTTCTGGTTGTTCTATTCTGTTCGTATATTATTCGAGAAAGAAAGCAGTTATAATGTGATTGTCGGTTTTGCTCTTTCATTACTCGATTCAATGCTTTATTTGCACTACATTACGGTCATCATTTTGGAGTTGCGGGCTTTAAGGCCAGAATTCATTGTTAGCGTTGTAAGGGATCCGGATGGAGAAAGTCGAACTTTTAGCCTCGGTCTGATGAGCATCCAAGAAGCTGCTGTCCATATTCTCAGGATGTACTATTCTACTTTCCCGTCTTATAATCCGTATATGGATAAATCATTCAACGGAGGTTCAATACATTTCCGGTCTGGCAAGTTATTCTCATGTTATGCTTTATATTACTATTGTTGCTAAGATAATTTCTAGCATGAAAGATCATTTTTTCGCTATTCAGCACCATGTTTTTATTTCTTATATTATTTATTGATTTTTCCTCGGTTAGATGACTGAAAGCTTCATCTTTGGGGAACTAATTGTATTCCGCTACTTTATTCGATATTGTAAATGTCAGTAGCTTAATTAAGATGGGCACTGTTTGGAATTTAATTCTTCTATACAGCGTACCAAGCTGATAGGGACAGTCTTATTGTAATGCCAATAATTCTCTTTCCAGAAATCTTCACACAGGCATTAGTGTGCTGGCATAGTTATAACCGTATAGTTTGCGCTCTTTTGAAAACAGTTGAATTTTTTGGAAAAAATCTAGTCGTGGAAAGAGTCTTCATGTTATGAGATTTTTCTACAAGTAAATAGTTTAGGTGTGTCACAACCAGTTGGGGGTTTCAAGATGTATGATATCGAAGGTTTGGGTAACGAATGTACTATAACAGAGGCTAATGCTCGTGCCATCATGGAGGCTGCTGCAAAAAGACGAATTGGTGGACACAATGAACGTTACCATGAAATAATAGAGTGGGAACGGCGAGTGCAAAAGCGGAAATATCGCTTGATTAGTACTACAGAAGAGGCGTTTGCAAGTGTTCAAAATGTGACGGTCAACAATCAAAATAAGGTGTACTTTTTGGAAGGAAATTTTTTCTTTATATCTTGCTGTGGCAAATTTTGTTAAGAGTTTGCAAAACCACATAATCACGATTTTTTATAGGTTTTGGGAGAGCCTATGGAAGCACTTGGGGCAGCTCAAGCAGTGTTTTCTGCGATCGCTAGGCCACTGAATAAGTATTTGAAGCTTACTCGACAACAACCTCGTCATACAGCTGATCAAGTTGTTGCTCATCTTGCTCGCTGTCTTTCACTTCGTTTTACAGCTGCTACTTTTCTGCAAAGATTTTTCTCTTCGAAATTTCCTTTCCCAGTTAGTTTCATAACTTCAGTTTTATAATTTTTGCTGCTTCATACTATTGGAACTGAAATTTTCATATGCAAAATCCATTTCTTTAATTTTGATTCGTAGCTGTTACTAGATGTTTTGTATATTCACCAGCACTTGCCTATTGAACGTGTGATGATGCAGTTTTATGCTGGAATGCTGTATATACCAGTGGGTGGATGATTTGTTTATTAATGTGTAATGATTAATGTTTTTAGGAACGCGTGAGAGAGACGAAGTGGTCAATTGTATGCAATGTTCAAGCATCCGCTGGTATTAAACATGGCACAGTCTTTGTATTGCGTTGTCACGAACGTGATGATGATGCTGGAGTGCAGTTGCTTTGCTCACTTCATTCGTTTCCTTTTTTTAATCTTACTGAACAGCAATCGTCGACATCAAAATTCGCCTTAAAAATTACCCCAGAATCAAATGTTTAGTTACAATTTGATATCTTTTTCAGTGGTTTTAAATTATACATTAATTATTGGCTTTTTAGTCTTCTGTTACATTGGGATATCCGTGTAATCATAGCACTCGGTTTTTACTTGCATGTCACAAATTTTTGTATGGATTGGATTGTTTTCTGCTCTTTTTAATGTACGAATTAATGAGGATTTGATCCTTATTAGTTTAGAAATATATGAACATATAACGATCAGAACCCAAGTTTTGAGCATAGAATACTCTCTGATCTCAATAACGTCTGCAGATGTCAATATTACGTATCGTTCGTATTTTAGGTTTATTTATCATATTTATGAAATGCATCCAGTACTTTATCAGCCAGTTCATTTGACTCAATACATGCATAATATTGAGTATACTTGTTTGATAGTTGGTGCTTATTATCTTTAGTATTTAAGAAATATTTCATCAGGTTGTTACAGCGTTATTATTAAGAGACTGTTTTTTTCCTCCTCGCATCTCTTATATATTGCCCGTTGTTGTTTTATAATCCATTTTTACATGGATTAAACAGTCATACATTTCACATCTGTACCTAACTTGATACTCATAACGTCAGTATTCCTTTGTACAATACAATGATCATCTTGAATTGTGTGTCCTATCTATACTTCCATGTTATCTTGATAATTTTGTGCCTGTTCACTTGGTTTTTTTGTGCTTCATTTATATTTATGCCACTGTTATTATTATTAATGCCATCCTTTATAAATGAGAAGATGCATCAGCCTTAACTGTATAAGCTGTGTAAGGAAGTGAACTTCGTGCAACAGTGCTTAAACAACATTTAGAAAAAAAATTATGGATATTAATTTGTAGTTTCTCAATGTTTCTTTTCGGATTTCATTTTCCTGCTACTTTTTAACGCAAACTAAAGGTTCGTTGTTTTTTAAGTCTTAACATGCCAGATAATATGAACAAAGTAATGACAGTTTCGGTCCGTATTTTGATAAAGTTGTGAAACAGTTGTCAGCAAATTACCAATTGTTAAGCAACAGAGCGATCTACTTGTGATTCATTTACAATAATGGGCACTATGGATGGAATGGCCAGTCCAACTTCATCACTAGCATAGGGTTGGGGGTAGTGGTGTTGTTTGGTTCATTACATCCGTGGAGGCAACTCATTAACGACGATTCCATTTTGGAGTACGGCGTTTTGGACTTCCCGAAATATTCTGGAAAGGGTTGTCGTACCTTGGCAGTCATTCAGTACCATATCAATGATTTCTGCGGGGTGATGAATAAACAACGGGGGTCCCTGTCATGGATTACTGTGGCAGCACTGTCATACGGCGATCAGAGAATATTTCTAATGATTCCCGGTAGCTGTGACTGCTAAAAAGAGGGTAGGTATACAGCCGACATCTTCAGCGTAGCACAGTTACGGTGGGATTACAGCGAGAGAAAATAAGCAGCTGTATACTTCAAAGTGCTATCGAGAACTTTGCTAAGTCCAATGTAACTTCCCGGGTAATTGCCTCATCTGAAGCATTTCCTTCTGGGATGTCTGTGTTACCACAATAACGCCTGCGAAGGAATCCCCGTCGCCTAGTGCATGCACATCACATTCATGAGCTGTTTTGCTCTGTTCGGATATTGAGACGAAACTCGCCTTTACAGTATTTTCGCTATATGACTGTTGCAGCTCAAGTGGTGGTTGTGAAGTATTGCTGCGTGTCATTGTAGGGCTGAAATAGGTGGTGGTTCTCGACGTGAGTGAGTGGGCGTGTGGAATATTCGAGAAGCGTCTGTTGCGTGTGGCGGTCAGGAGTGTCTGACTTGCTTTCTTAGTCTCGTGATGGTTATGGTGTGTGTGTGTGTGTGTGTGTGTGTGTGTGTGTGTGTGTGTGTGTGTGTGTGTGTGTGTGTGTGTGTGTGTGTGTGTGTGTGTGTGTGTGAGAGTGTGTGTGTGTTTTTACATTTTTATCAAATGACCTCGTTGTGAACTCCAGCTGTAATACTGTAGGATCTGAAGTATTTGAAGCTGATCAAGTCGCATTAAAATTAGGACTGTTGTTAAAGTATAACAGAAATTTTTTTACTTTATCACTAGATTCACCTCCCATATGACGTGATGAAAGTTGTTGGAATCCGACAGAGAATTTCTATAGAAGTTTTTGTTCACAATTAGCATGAGGCGTTGAGAAGTTAGGCGAGTTCGGTTACTTTGTTCTAGACAATATTTGTTCATTCATTTTAGATGACAAACGATCTTGGGAGCGGTGAACGTGGACGGACGATGAAAAACAGTGATACAGATGATGATATTGATAATGGAGTTTCTTTCGCTGAGGAAGTGGGTTTTTATTTGTTCACTTGCTGTTCTTTCGGTGGAAATCGTTTTCTTTTTCATTTTCATATACTCTTCATATGTATTATCAATGCGGATGTATGATGATTTAAATATGATCGTTCTTGGGGTCTTCAACTTTTTTGATTGTTTTGGTGGTAATTCAAGAGTATTCATCTGCCGATATGTTTGCAGCATGAAAATAAAGAAAATGCTCGTGGGAGAATGACTTTTGTTAAAGCAGCAGCACAACGCAACAATCAGGAAGATGCGATGGATACAACCGATGTTAATGAAGGTAAGTATGGTTACAGTTTGTCGCACTGCGTGTGTGGAAAGCTTAGTGAGGGCTCCCGTGTTGATGCAAAATTGTGAATAATTATGACGAAGTAAAATTTTCGTGCAAGAGCATAAAGATAGTCCATTTCACTTCAAATGGCCATAAGCAGACGCTATTTTCTTTCAGTGAATCACTCATCACCGGTTTGGACTTTTTTATTTTCAGGACATGGTTCTCCATTATCCGGAGACTGTGAAGAAGACGGTATGGTTTTCTATTGGTTTTTTGGGATTCTAGTTTTGCATTTCATTTTAGCTTGATGAGATGGAGCTGTTATTCTCCTATCTCATTTTATCTAAGTACTTCAAATGTTACGGAAGTTCGGAGTAGCTTGTTACTGTTCGCTATGTGCTCATTTTATGGTCCAATATAAAGTTAAGCATTGTGATCCGGAAATAGTTGCGTGGAATTTCATAACTACCTTTTTAGCATTGCTTTTCTCATTCTTTTTTTTATTCGTTGAACTTTGTTATGGTTGTTAACTGGTCATTTCTTGCTTTCACGCGCTTTTCATGGCAATCTATGGATAAGGTAGCAATGCAGCGGTAATCTTTCTTTTGTTGGTGTTTTGCAGATAACTCCAACTGAACTTTGCTGAAGGTATATTGATGTCGGCAAGCACTCAGTAAAGCGCCGTGTTTGGAACTAACTGATTCATGTTTCCTTTCTGGACCCTTTCATTGTTAATTATAGATCCATATAAACCAGAAGGAATTTTGCGCATGGATATTGATCACTTTAGTGATTTTGCTCGTGGTTCATCTGAAACACATCAGAAATTGAGTGAACCGATATTTGTTAGAGGTCTACCCTGGAGAATTTTAGCAATGCCGCGAGAACAGAATAGAGTTCGGTTTTCTCTTTTTTCTGTTAGATTTGAATATTGTTGCCAACATTCTTAAATAAAGCTTTAGGTTTGCATATCGTTGCTGCCATTCTTAAATGAACCTTTTGGAAGAATAGAATAACGAGCAGGAGACTTTCTCTTATGATGAGTATTAAATGTCAGGTAATTGTAGTTTCAAAGTGAACGCCGATCAGCAGGGCGTGCGTTTGGTTTCTTTCTGCAATGTAACGGTGAAGCAGAAGCGATTTCTTGGTCATGTACAGCAAGTGCTATTCTCACAGTTTTGTCACAGAAACCGGGAATTGAGAATCATGTGCGAAGAATCAATCATACTTTCTATCAAAAGGAGAACGACTGGGGTTATTCGCAGTTCCTTCCGTGTGAAGTAAATTATTTCTTATTCTTCGCGAATTATAGACATTTGTAGCTTTGCTATCCTATTACATGAATAGCAATTTCAAATGTATGTTTTAGTTTTATTGTGGTCAACTTTTCTACAGAATTATGAGAAATCTGATCATTAGTAAGAAGTGGGAGATGGTTTTTTCATTTGCAGACACTTCTGAACCCTGAGAGCGGTTACATCAAAGATGATACTATCAAGCTGGAAGTATTAGTTATGGCTGATGCTCCCCACGGCGTGCAGTTTGTTTTGGATCTTTATACCTTTTTTGCTACTCATATGCAGGATTTTGCACATGATGTGGATGGATGAATGTTCAGTTTTTCCTGTTCATAAGCCTATAAAATTTAACTATCTCCTTAAATTTATAAAAAGACTTTCTATTTAGATGGGATAGCAAGAAACACGCTGGCTTCATTGGTCTAAAAAATCAGGGTGCGACATGTTACATGAATTCGATATTGCAGACTTTCTTTTTCACCAACCAACTGAGGAAGGTTGGTTACAAATTTTAGAATATATGCTTATACTGCTTAAATGGAAGCAGAACTTCTCACTTTTGTTGATTTCAGGCCGTATATCAGATGCCAACTGAAAATGACGATCCAGAAACCTCGGTAGCTTTGGCTATGCAGCGTGTTTTTTATGAATTGCAAAATTCGGACAAACCTGTTGGCACGAAAAAGCTGACGAAATCATTCGGATGGGATAGTGTCGAATCATTTCATCAGCATGATGTACAGGAGCTGTGTCGTGTGCTGCTAGATAATTTAGAAAATAAGATGTCTGGAACGAAGGTATTTTTTCAATCCTTTTATGTGTAGTATATCCATTGTTCTATCAATGAGCAGTAGTTTATTCTTTTTAGTTTACTCCTATTTGGCGCTTAACTAATAAAATGGTTGTAGTAGTGTGGATTCTTATTTGTTATGTGGTCATGTAAAATTGTTACTTTCTGTAATGAAACCTTTCTGTTAAAAAATTTATTCACAATCATTTCGAAAAACCATTTGATTTATACAAGATTTTATTTTGAATTATTTGTAAATTCGTCAATACAAGTTTATGTTTTAGGTAAAAAATACTATCCCTTCTTTGTTTGAAGGGAAAATGAAGTCATATGTTCGCTGTAAAAATGTATGTTTTGAGTCAAATCGGGTTGAATCATTCTATGATCTTCAGCTTAATATTAAAGGCAAAGCAAATGGTATGTTTTTGATCTGATATTTTGCTGTGTCTGCAAGTTTCAAGGCGTGTGGAAATTAAATTGACTGAAGAAAATGAAAAACACAAAAAAATTCAGTTCTTCTTGTAAGTGATTTTAATTTCAGTTCTGGAATCCTTCTCTGATTATACCGCTGCAGAAATACTTGATGGTGATAATAAATACGATGCTGGGGAATTCGGTTTGCAGCCAGCTGTTAAAGGCGTCAAATTTATTTCATTTCCTCCGATTTTACATTTGCAGCTGATGCGTTTTCAGTATGACGCATTACAAGATGCAAACGTGAAAATCAATGACCGGTAATTCATGTTAATTCAATTTTATTTTTAGTTTAAGCAAAATTTAAGCTTTAGCATTGGTTTTTTTACAGGTTCGAGTTTCCTGCACTTTTAAATTTGAATGCGTTCATAGAAGATGGCGACAAAAAAGAACCTCAGGACTTTTTACTTCATGCTGTCCTAGTACATTCTGGTGATTTCCATGGTGGTCATTACGTAGTTTTTATCAATACAAATTTGGGTGGACCTCCCAAGGTACCTTTCCTTATACGCTGTTAGTATAATTTTGTTTACACATCTTCATGATTTCTTATTGATTCATTTTGTATTGTTTGGTTTTTGTTTGCCTTTTTGGCACTTGTTTAATTTAGCTGTATCATAACTATATTTTCAGTCTAGTTTTCAACAGAATGTGAATATTACATTTTCAGTGGTGTAAATTTGATGATGATGTTGTTTCTCGTGCTTCTGTTCGTGATGCTATAGAAGCTAATTATGGTGGCGATGATCCCGATCTCCCAGGCAAATCATTTACCAATGCCTACATGCTTGTTTATATTAAGAAAAATTCTATAAGTAAGTTTTCGTTTTCAGTTGACTTTTGCCTTTCAAACATTATTTACCGCTTACTTTTGGTTTTAAGCATTTTTTATTTTTACGATTCACTTTTCCTAGGTTAAGCTTATAGTTTTAATGTTTTTTATTTTTAGATGACGTTCTGTGTCCGGTGACTGAAGAGGATATTCCACGACATTTGCGATTACGATTTGAAGAGGAAAAATCAGCTGATGCCAAGAAAAAGAAGGAGAAGCTTGAAGCCCATCTTTTCACAGAACTTATTGTAAGTTTGGCCTATGAGTGTCACTGTCTTTACTTCTTGAACTTTGTTTTTTCTAACTAGTGGTTATTTAGGTGATATTAGAAGAGCATATGTATAACTATTCGGGATTTGATTTATTCGATCCGAAGATACTGGATGAAGCTCGTCGGTTGAAGGTTGAGAAGAAGATGACTATTGATCAGTTGTATGCGTTGTTTGCAGAAGAGTTTGTAAGTTAAATCAAGATTCTTCAATGTATATATATAATTGATATTGGGACTCTTACGTATGTATGGATTCAGCATCGAAATTCTCGAGCTTGTCTTTTAGCATCTTGGCGAAAATAACTTTCGTTTATGGCAAGTACATGAAAATACAATCCGAGATGAAAGGAATAATGCGCTTTCTTTGAATCGTCTTCGTCCATCAACGCTACTGAAACGTGACATTGAACATCTGCACTCAAATCGTATTGACA